AGAAGCCGATTTTAGCATGCACGGAATCACGGACTCGCGCACACGTTTCCTTGCGGTAGTTAAGGCGTTACCGCGCGAGTTTAACAGGTACGTGACACCTAGTATGTTTACTAGTGATGTTTCCGAACCTTACGAAACGCTTAAGCTATTGACTTTAAAACGAGGAGACCTAACTGATCGACAACGGTTAGACCAACTCCTTAACAATATCGACTTGCAACATGGTTCTGCGACGGACATGTTGCTTAGAATGAGAGAAGTCATCGGCCAACGAACTTTCGATGATGGCCTATTTAGACAACTTTTCTTGTCTAAACTCCCTCAACAGGTGCAGGCAGTGCTTGTTTCATTTCAAAACAATGCCATAGATGAACTAGCTGCATCTGCCGATCGAATCTTAGAAATCACTAGATCTTCTAAGGCCGAGGTTTTTTCCGTCAAAGAAAAACCCCAATCGACCTCGACTGACATGGCCGAACTATGTCACACGCTTACACGATATCTCAGAGTTCGCAATGACCGTAGTCGGTCAAAAACCCCGCGTAGAAGCGCCTCACGTAAGCGATCTGGCTGTCGACCACGAGAGACAGACAATCCCGACTGGTGCTGGTATCATAACCAGTACGGTAAGTTTTCCAGAAATTGCAGGAAACCTTGCAATTATCCGACTTCAAAATCGACTGACACAAATAAGATTTCGGGAAACTCCCCAGCCGGCACGCGTTAACGGCAACCGTAGCCGGCGAACACAGCCGTCTGTTATACGTCATGGATGTGACAACGAAAGTTCGCTACCTCGTCGACACTGGCGCAGAAGTTAGCGTTCTTCCAGCAAATCTTGACGACAGACTTCGCGAGTCTGTTTTAAGTTTACAGGCGGCAAACGGAAAGCCAATCGCTACTTACGGTAAAAGGTACGTTTACCTTAACGTGGGTTTACGCAAACCCATACACTGGATTTTCGTTGTTGCAGATGTCTCTAGGCCAATCATTGGTATAGACCTGTTACAACACCACAATCTACTCATCGACACACGCTCACGAAGGTTGATAGACGGAAACACTAAGTTATCTGTTAGCGTAACTCCTTGTTCTGGTTGCAGGTTATCCCCAGTCACGATTAAGCACACCATAGACCCCTTGTACCAATCAGTACTCGACAAATACCCCGGGATATACCAATCGCAATCGAAATTGCCTTGTGTAACCAGCAATGTTACACATCACATCTCGACTACAGGACCACCTGTATTTTCGAAAGCTCGAAGACTCGCTCCCGAGAAGCTTAGGTTAGCTAAAAACGAATTCGACCACATGATGGACCTAGGGATAATTCGACCATCGAATAGTCCATGGGCATCCCCATTGCACATGGTCCCTAAAAAGGACAGCAATGATTGGCGGCCAACTGGTTATTATCGGCGTCTGAATGCTAAAACCATTCCCGATCGTTACCCGCTGCCTTATATTCACGATTTGACAGCTACCTTGAAAGGTACAACTGTCTTTTCGAAAATCGACTTGGTTAAAGCTTATAACCAAATTCCGATGGCACCTGACGACATTCCTAAAACCGCCATCATCACTCCCTTCGGTCTTTACGAAGTTCTACGAATGCCCTTTGGTTTAAGAAACGCGGCTCAAACCTTCCAAAGGTTTATAGACGACGTCTTCCGAGGTCTCAACTTCGTATATGCGTATGTTGATGACTGTTTAATAGCAAGTCCGGACAGAGAATCGCATCTCAAGCATCTGGACATTGTTTTCGATCGACTCCAAAGGCATGGCATTACTGTCAACATACAGAAATGCCAAATCGGAACAAACTCCTTAGACTTCCTAGGACACACCATTGATGCCCAAGGCATCCGACCCCTTAGGAGCAAAGTGGCGGCCATTCTGGATTACCCAGAACCGACCACGATCAAGCACTTACGAACTTTTAACGGACTCGTAAGTTTCTATAGACGGTTCATACCTAAATGCGCATCCCTAATGAAACCGTTAACCGATCAGCTTCGTGGAAATGCGAAATCAATTAGTTTAGACGACATAGCCCGTAAAGCATTTTCCACAGTTAAGGAACACATCGCTAAAGCAACCTTGCTTGCTCATCAGGACACTCAAGCGCTCATTAGTATCGCAGTAGACGAATCCGACTCAGCAATCGGAGCAGTCTTACAACAATGGGTTAACAACTCGTGGCAACCTTTAGGATTTTTCTCGAGACGGTTGCTAGACGCGGAATCTAGGTACAGCACGTTCGGTAGGGAACTCCTAGCTATGTATTGTGCTGTACGGCATTTTCAACATTCCATCGAAGGAAGAGAATTCACGCTTTTTACCGATCACAAACCTCTTACCTTCTCCTTAAATTCATCTTCAGACAAGTACTCACCGCGAGAGTCTCGACAACTCGACTACATTTCGCAGTTTACTTCAGACATACAACATATTTCTGGAGCTAACAATGTAGTCGCAGACGCCTTGTCTCGAATAAGTTCCTTGAACAGTTTCCAAGGAATCGACCTTCTTAAACTCGCTCAGCTTCAAAAAGAAGACATTAATCTTCAGCATGAGTTATCCTCGACAACTCTTAAACTAAGTATTAGGCAGATGGGAACAGGTAAGGAAACCTTACTCTGTGACACATCTACAGGTAGGGATCGTCCAATTGTACCAAAACACTTTCGCCGCAACGTCTTCAATACGTTGCACAATCTTTCTCATCCAGGTGCTCGTGCAACAATCGAACTTATGGCCGAACGCTTTTGTTGGCCTGGCATGAATAAAGACGTGAGGGAGTGGGCACGCTCCTGTGTAAGCTGTCAGAAATCTAAGGTAATCAGACACAACAAATGTCCCTTAGGTTCTTTCAAAACCCCTGACGCTCGTTTCGACCACGTCCATCTAGATTTGGTAGGACCCTTACCCGACTCGAACGGATACTCATATCTCCTAACATGCGTAGACCGTTTTACTCGATGGCCAGAAACAGTACCGATTAAGGACATTACTGCTGAAACCGTGGCCCGCGCTTTCGTCGAACGATGGGTAGCAAATTTCGGCTGCCCTTCAACCATCACTACAGACCGCGGACGACAGTTCGAATCTGGACTTTTCCGTTGTCTGACCACACTTTTAGGAATCACGCGCTTCCGAACGACCGCCTACCACCCACAAGCAAACGGGTTGGTAGAACGTTTTCATCGACAATTAAAAGCTTCATTATCAGCTTCAAACATTTCACAGTGGACAGACGCTCTTCCACTCGTCTTGCTAGGTATTCGCAATGCAGTGAAAGCTGACATTGGATACACGGCATCTCAACTCGTTTACGGAACGACACTTCGACTCCCAGGAGAATTCGTAGATCCTTCAGCTTCTTCATTGAACATGGATCTAAACTCTTACACGAGTAGGCTTACAAACGCTATGCGTTCAGTTAAACCTGCTCACACTCGACCTCAATCAACTGATGTTTTCGTTCAACCCGAATTACGACATAGTACACACGTCTTCGTTCGTCGAGACTCACATCGACGACCCCTCGAATCAGCATACGAAGGACCCTTCAAAGTTCTTCAACGCGAACCTAAGTACTATGTAGTCGATAAGAACGGTACGAACGATAGCATAAGTATCGATCGACTCAAAGCTGCGTACCTAGAAGGAAACCCTAGCTACGTCGATTTTCCTTCGGTACAAGCAAACGACACAGCTACTACACTCGTAGTACCCTACACGACAACCGACACACAACTTGATACTTCGTCAACGTCGATAGAAAAACCTAAAACAACGCGTTCTGGAAGACGAGTCAGATTTCCAGAACATCTTAACGAATATTGCACGTAGGACATAAGCTTTATCTTGAATTACCCTTCGATAGTTCATTATAAAAAAAATTTTAATATGATAATTTTTTATTTATATAAAAAAACAAAAAAAAACAAAACTTTTTTATCTTTTTTTTGAGCGTATATATATATACTTTTTTATATATAAAAAAAACAACCCAAAAACAAACCATTTTTTTTCCAATCGCTTTTACGCTGTTTGTAAGTGTATCAGTTTATTTTTTCCGCTCATCTTGTGTCCTTACGCAAGTACGAGTGTATTTTCGACATGCACTCACACGTTTTATTTTTCCTCTTTTCCAGGACGGCTGGAAAAGAACGACGAAGTTTCGCAAGAAACCGAAATTTTCATTGTACTATATTTCTTTATTGCTATGTTGTACATTTTGGTCCCATAGTTTAAGGAAAGACGACCATATGCTGCTAAACGAAGCAAGCCATCAGAAGAGTGTTTACCAGCGACAAACTCGTTGGGTTTAAACTTCTGGCTGGTCACGTCTTAGGGGCATCACTACCTCACTAGGGGGGGAGTGATCTGTAGCTGTAAATAATTCCCCAAAATCAATAGTTCATTAAGTGTTCGACATTGGATGCTGACCACGTGTTTAAGTGGACTTGTTTAGCTGAAGGCTTTCGGTCATGCATCCGCACCAGATCACGTTTCGACTCGGCGTGGGACACAGCTCCTACGTTTCATTAGCCAGCTCATAGAAAAGGTCCTCGATATATTGGTAACGAATCAAATATATCTTTCCTGCCTCTTCTCGTCTGACTTCTGATTTCTATCTGACTGGGAACAATCGAATTTAGAAGGTGCTACTGGTATCTAGTTGTAAAACTAGAATATCCGTTGCATCATCAATACAAACCCATAAATAACTAGTACGCTGTTTAGAATTAGTGCCATCAAGTGGCTAAACCACTACATATTGGACACAAATAAATACCTGAGACCATGCCGAAACGAAAAGAAGCAAACACAGAGAAATCAATCGGTTTATACAAAGCCCACGACAAAGATACTGGATATATCGGAACCAAGACATGTTTGCATGTGCATTACGAAACCAAATACCACCGTCTGAAAATCAAAAGCAACATATTTAACATTAAATATCGACAAAAATTACACGGATTTACATACACAGCTCAGATTTATTGCCTTTTCACCCCAAAGTACAACTCTGAGAACTGTCTTACAGTGGGACGTTTGAAGAGTCAAGGTCATTGTTTCGTTAATTATCTCGCCTTTCATTTTTCATTGTTGGAAACATGTCTTATATGCTTTCTCACCTAACTAATGGCTGGCAAGTAGACCAAGCAATACTGTCTGAAGAAGACAGAGTTGTCATCATACGCTTCGGTCACGACTGGGATCCGTCATGCATGGTCATGGATGAAACTCTTTTTAAAATCGCCGAGAGAGTGAAGAACTTCGCAATCACGTACTTAGTTGATATAACTCAAGTTCCAGATTTCAACAAGATGTACGAGTTGTACGATCCCTGCACTGTTATGTTCTTTTACCGTAATAAACACATTATGATTGACTTGGGGACAGGTAACAACAATAAAATCAACTGGCCCATAGCCGACGGACAGGAGTTTATAGATATTGTTGAAACAGTGTATAGGGGTGCAAGAAAAGGTCGGGGTTTGGTTGTTTCTCCAAAAGACTATTCGACTAAGTATCGGTATTGAGCTATGTACTATTTCTTCGTCTTGTTATGTATTTTTCAGTTCTTATCCTGCATTTCTGTGTTAATAAAATATTTATAATCCGCAACTAAAGTTTGGTTGTTACTCTACTTATCTACAGTACTGGCGAATAAAATTCTAGTGTATTGCATGTGATCAGCCTAATATTTATTCGATTTGAGAATATTTAAAGCGTCACTTTTGTAATACTTACCGAAAAACACCTATAGTACTAACGTATATTGACAAATATTTTACAAATTTTGGATTTAAATATTCATGAAGTTGTGATTTCAAATTAATGTTACTTGCCATACAGTGATCTGAGCATTCCGGTTGTCTCTTTTGCTTTTTAATCCGTACCTCCCGTTATATTTAATCATCCTCCAAGTAACAGGTAGCCTTTCGGGCCTAATTGTAGTGAAATACACAAACGATAACCACTTTCCGGTTTCGTACAGACGCACAAACATAGGATTAGCCTCTGTGTACATATCTTTTTTTGACTGGTTTTAGTGTTATCTCCATATGTTCTATTATGGAGGGCTGCGTCAAAAAAACCCACGTGTTTTAATTCCAGTCGAGGCTGCACTGATCCAAACATTTTAGGAAAGCAGTTTCAGTGGTTGAAAATTTTAGGTGATTACCTTCAAAAGCGACCACAACGCCACATGCTACTTTATTATTTATTTATTTGAACACATAAATATTTGTACAAAGAGGCACCCAATACATATGCGCCACACAAGTCACTTGATTTGTATGTGGGCTGTGATACTGCTCGGGTGCCTAGACCGAAGCAGGTGGTTTTCTTAGGGGACCACACCTGAAGCCTTAGACCTAAAGGTCTGGTCCACGAGGCGGTGGAGCAACGTAAGGAGGTGCAGTCCCATGACAGCCGGTGACCAACGGTTGGTCCATACGTTATTTGTTCCTTCAGGATCCTGGAGCACGTGTGCACCATTGGTTTTGAATAGGAGTCTTCTAACTCTTAGGTGGATCCCACTAAGCCAGTTAAGACGCCGAAAATTCGCTTTTAGTCCTCTCGATTCCGCACATAACACCCTTGCCTCGAGAAGACAGTGGATAGGACTTCCATGGAAGTGGCTGTATACCTGTAGCCATGTGACAGCACTTCAAGAAGGAGAGCGAACTCTCTCCACCCTCGGCCGTACTACGGCACTTGGGGTATATATGCTACTGCGACCTGTTGTTGTCAATACAGCCATACAGCTATGAAATCCGCCTGTAACCAGTTTACTGTCTAGTCAGTTGAAGTAGGGTTCTCTGGTCGTACAAACCGATATAGCAACAAAAGCTAACCCATTTTCTTAATTTCTGAAATTTGTCACTGTAGATATTGAAGAGTTTAAAGACATGTTACTAACCGAAATGTTGAACCGAACTGCATCATTGTATTCAAAACCGTAAAATATTTAGCTTACTTAAGCATATTATGTACAAGAAATTGAGCGATATACACTTGTCATCTTATTCACAAACAATCAGGATTAACTCAGCTTTAATGATGTCTCATGATCAGGAGTATGGAGTGGAGTGAATTTTTGTCTTTCAAATGTGTTATAGTTCGTCAACTCAGCTTGTTATGTCTAATAACAACACGTTAAATTCGGATGTAGACTAACTAAATGGAAATTAAGAGAGAAGAGGTATGACCAAAACAAAATGTCAAATATTTTAAGCAATACAGATGTGCCCATCATCGTTGCCCTTATTTTTTTTTAACTCAACCGTCAGTATGGATTAATGTGAAGTCACTAAGACGAGTACTTTTTCAGTGTTCCTAAGGGCACAGATGATTTTCTTTTTGAGGTTGGGTCATACTTTCACTGCACGAGTCTATTGTCCCATTTAGTTACCGAGGCATCGGTGTATACCCATTCACTCCCATCAAAGCTTACTAAGGTTCCGCCCATTGAGGTTTGCTGTATCAGGAATAAAAGTGATTTCTGAATGCCTCAGTGAATGTAATTTTCATTGCTTCAGGGCACGAAAAAGACCTTATTTTGTATGTTGATGGGTTTGTTGCGTAGTCATCACAAACAGCGAAGTAATGAGTCATTCGAAGTTTATGTGTTCTTATATGATTAGCTAAGGCGATCTATGCTCTTAACAAGTCAATTTCCTTCACCGAAACGAGATAGTTTCTTGTGCTAGTTCCAACCCTTCAGTACACAGTTCATCAGTTGACTATGTGAATATTACAAAGTCCCCTTAAGTTAATACACCAAGAAGTGTAAGACTTTGGAGGCTTACATCTATATATGCATGTTTTGCCAGTAATTTTCTCATTTAAAGTGTATATACTTCAGTAGAAACTTTTTCGAACGTATCTATCAGCAACTCGTTTCTAAAGCTGTGCTTGTCAAAATGGTTTGCTCTGTTTTCTCTAAAACATCGCTGGTTTGTTGGAAGGATGCGGTTAGCTTAAATTTACCTTGTGAAGTGCGTAACCAACACATTTTCTCTTTCATCAATAATTAAAAGCGTATACTTTCAAATACGTGATTAAAATACATTTCATGCTTTTTCTATCAAGTTATCTTTAAGCATAAAAGCAGTTGCGTCTAAACCCTATAACAGTGTCGAAATGTGTCGTGAGCTAACTGCTCCAAAGCAAGTCTATGATAATAGTTTGATGTGAATGTCATTCCTATATCAAGACAGTCAGAATTTTCTTGGAAGTTGTTATGAGGTTGAATGGCCATTATGGGGTTTTGTTTCTCTTGCTGCTGTAATTAGTGGTTATTATATGAGGACAACGATAAGTTGTCCTTATTTCTGTAGCTTGCACAATGGTGGTCTTTTAAACTACTCTGACCTTATTATTAGCTGATATCTAAGATATGTACTTAGTTTATGAATGATTTTACACATACGTTTACAATTATCATCACTGTAAGTTGCTTCGTGTATGTGTGTTTATTTCCATATGACAAAAATGATTGATTTCTAGTAAATAGTAGAGTTGTGATTATTTGCTCATTAGTTTGTTAGTAATCACCCATAATCCTGATGTATTTTTTCTTCAGACTTTTTCTTTAAAGTTAAAGAGGGATATTGAAAATGTCTGATTTATCTGATACCGATCGAGAACGTATCGGGAAACTATTCAGCGATTTAGATATAGATAAAGACGGTCGTATCAGTGTCGCTGAACTCAGTCGTGTCATAAAAGGAAGCAAAGATGAAACAGATACTAAAAACAAAACAGCTAAAAAAATTATGACCAAAGGAGATACGGACAAAGACGAAACACTTACATTTCAAGAGTTTATTTCTTACATTCATGACACTGAAACTCATTTGAAACTCGCATTTAAAGAAATTGATCAGAACAGTGATGATCGAATAGACGCTAGCGAAATCCAGTCAGCCATGAAGAAACTTGGTGCTAATGTGAGCGAAGCTGATGCACAAAAGTTGCTTAAGCGTATAGATAAGGACGGTTCCTTAGACATTGATTATAAAGAATGGAGAGACTTTTTGCTATTTAGCGGGACTTCAAAGATTGATGAAATATTTAGATATTGGAGACATGCATCAGCCATTGACATAGGTGAAAATATGTGTGTTCCGGATGATTTCACAGAAGAAGAAAAGAAGTCTGGAGATGCTTGGAAAACATTGGTCTCAGGAGGTTAGTACTGTAATTTTAGTTCTAGTGTTCATTTACCTTCTACACTTTTATCTGGTAAGTTGAAACATTTTACTTCTAGTTAAAGGAATAATGCATACGAAATTTGTACTTTCTATGTAATTTGTAGTTGTTAATAATTGAATTTTTGGTACGTAGCATAATTATTGGACCGGTTAAGATATTTATATAGATCTAGTATTTAAAACAAAACAGCTTAAATGACATCGCATTAAGTATTTACAGCATGAGTTGTTATTAGTACCATGAGTTTGTCATAACAGCTACAAGTTGGCTGTTCTATATCTTTTCTACTATAAAGATAATTTACAGTCTTTTAGTTCTTAGTCACTTCTACTTGAGTTGATTTAATTGACAGGTAAAAGTGGTTTGGTTACCGTTCTGTAGTTAGTAGCAGTTCTCCTTGTTGCAGAAATGACGAATTACCTTAAACCATCTACATTAGCTAGATGACCGTTAATTGAGTACCGTTTGAGGTGAAGATAGATTACTTTTTTACTGTTATTTGTATGTTCGGTTCTGCTATGATATCTGTTTCCCAATTTATAGTTGAGATGATTAGCGTAAAATACAGTCGCCTTAGTAGGATTGCTATGGAGTAGTCAAACTATCGCTGGAGGTATTAGTTATATATAATGTTTCAGTAGATATTACCGAAATTTTACAGGGTCTTCCGTTTTCCATTTCCTTGAAATATTGAATTGCATTAAGGTGATGGGGAATATTTGTACCTGAGGATGAGGGCCTAAGATGGATAGTTTACTCACAAAGCCTTTTTTATCTCTCTCAATATTTGAGATATGAATCAGGTGTTGATGTAGGTGTTTAGAATAACAATAAAAACTTCATTACTTAGTTATCAAACTCAGAGAAAACACGTAAATAATCAAAAGTAGTTTGTGTTCGATTTTTATACGCCTGTTGTGTATATGTAAACCATATACTAAATTAGTTTTCAGTTTCTATTCTTGGAATCTATAAGTCATTTTTGTTTGGTGCACAGTGAATAAACAGTGACGCTAATTAATTCTGTGTTATGGTTATGTGTTTTCATTCGTCTCGGTGGTTGTCAAACAAAAATTAGTGGAAGGAAACTAAGCTGTGGCAGTTTCTCTTAATAGATTTCAGCAGTGGTTCCTCGTATTACAATTTTAAGTAGCAAGCGATTTCAGCATAACAATTAGTGACGAACAGTCATAACAATTTCTGTTTGTTGTTTTGATTAATGTTGTATTTCATTCAATTAGTCATTACGTTTTTCTTGTTTGACCACCCTCAAATTACTCAATTGTTGAATTCCAACATCTTAGGTATTGCTGGTTGCATCTCTAGAACTGTAACAGCGCCTTTGGACCGCATTAAATTAACATGGCAAGCACTTGGAAGCAAAGCTTCCGAAGTAGGTTTATTGGGGACAGTCAATAAAATGGTTAAAGAAGGTGGGGTAACAGCATTATGGCGTGGAAATGGTGTTAACTGTTTAAAGATTGCTCCAGAATCAGCAATTAAATTTCAGGCTTATGAAGTTTACAAGTGCTGGCTAAATGAATCATTTGGTAGTAATCCAGATGGAAGTCTTCAATTACATACTAAATTCTTAGCCGGTTCATTGGCTGGTGCAACTTCCCAAAGTATTATATATCCTATGGAGGTATGTATTTTCTGCCTCCAGTCATAAATCATAATTGTATGTACTGCCATGTTGCTAAATTATTCTATAAACTTTACCATTTTGCTTTGGTAGCATATTTTTAATTAGCATGTGAATGTTTATTTGTTGACATCTTTGAGTATTACACATGTGATCAACATATGTTGCGACAGTAGTATATTTCTGGAAGTGTTCGGTAAATTTATGTGAAAGATGGCTTTGCATTTGAAGATTTACCTACACCAGTTCAGTTGTTGTAAGCTTATATGAAAGAGGATGGATTTTCACCCATTTTTCTTGATTTTAAATTTTGGTTTCACTGAATCTCTATGAATAACCAAACTCTGTTACTGACATTTAGTCTTTAAAATTGTACAAATTTATGCAGCCCAACTGATATTCAAACTAGGTACGTATTTATCAGAAGTATCATTTTCATACAAAGTGCATGATATATACGAGTGTTTAACGGTATTTTGCGATTTATTTTTCGACCTTCATTTCACTTTTCATTAGTTGTGTTAGTTTTTATGATAAATCCAAAGTACAAAAACCAAAAACAAATGGTTATTTATCACTAACCAAAGCTTTAATTCAAAAATCGTTTGTGTAAGATAAGGTTGCATTAGAAGGTACAGTCTTATATTTGGTAACAACCGGCAAGTTTCCGTTTAATGTTAGTTTTCTTATGCATACCACACAATTTTTAACAAAAGGCTTTTAGTTTATTTGACTTCATTCATTATTCAGGCTCCTGAATCAAATGTTCCTTAGTCTTTGTACTTGTTTCTGAATTACAACAAGTTTAATCATAATGTATGTGTTCGTAAGTTTATTAGTCTTATCTGTTGAATATTTTTAAATTGATACTGACAAATTAGTGGTTTATACACAGCTATCGGATTCAGTTCATTGATCCCTCCCATCGGTAATCATTACAAGCGATATGTGTGTAAAAATTGTTAACTGAGAATATTCAGTAATATGGCTATAAACTGTTTTCAAATAATACAAAAGTACCAGTCCTTATATACGCTTTTCTTTTTTATTTATAGCTCACCTTTTATTGACCAGTCACATTATCTTAAATCATTTTTCATGTTGTACGTAAATTATTGCTTATCAAAAGCTACACTATTAAGCTATAAGTGATTTACACTGTAAAGCTAGAAGCGTAGAAAGCAGTAAGATTATCTGAGTATGCAACGTTTCACAGTTATGGTAATAATATATACACCTAAATGGATTGGTACGTTTATTGTACATATTTTACGGAGTCACATTTGTTTGCCACTTCAATATTAGTAACCTCAACGATTAAACTGATTTTCTATGTGAGAATCAATTCTTACTGTCAAAAGTGAATATACGCCATATAGTCAGACCGCAAACTAATTAACACAGAAAACAAGCATGTTTATTAGTGTTGATGCAGCTTTCTGTGATATTATACCCCTCTTACCTGTCTTTTTATATTTCAACCTTCATGATTCTACAGTTCTGATGTGTTCCACTGTATAACTTGCTGTTCTTACTTTGCCTTGACAATATTGTTTATACATAGTCTGACAGAGGGGGCTCTCTCTTCATACATCAAAACACTAGAAAGAATATACCTGACAGGCTTTATCTCATATGAATGGGTTTTTGTTAGTATTAAAAGAGTCAACGTTTAACTAGTTCACATCTTACTAGAATTACCATTGTTTGTTTCTGTCCTTAGGTATTGAAAACACGAATGTGTTTACGCAAAAGTGGACAGTACTCGTCAATATTTGACTGTGCTCGAAAGTTATATCACAGTAATGGTATTACTATATTCTATCGTGGCTATGTGCCTAATATACTGGGTATTCTACCGTATGCTGGAATAGAATTGGCTATGTTTGAAACATTTAAACAATCATATTCTAAAGCATTTTTATCAAAGGATGAGAAGTCTCGAAATATACCTCCACCAGTTTATGTTTCTGTTGTAGCCGGTGCTCTCTCATCATTATGTGGTCAGTTAGGCACCTATCCATTGGCATTGGTCCGGACAAAACTTCAGGCACAGTCATCTTCAGAAAAAGTTAGTTCATAATTTGTTTTACGATTATTTCTTGATTTCGGTCAATGTTTAGTAACTTAGTTTCTAACTAGTTGAACTATGCAGTCAGTCAGCTACAACGTAGGACCAGGCACATATATGCATCGGTCCAAGTTGCCATACCTCGTTAGTACAACAAGATGAATACCGAATTCATAGAAGTACTTAATTTAGTGGTGGTAGTATACAAAAGAAAGGTTGTATACAACGATATAGTACAGGAAGGAAGAAAAATATGAAGTAATTTTAGTCTCAAGGTTTAAGGGAAGATAAAGAGTGTATACACCTACGCCATTGTGATCGATTCTGAGCCATGTCACACAGAGTCTCCAACCATTGGTTACGATAGTCAGGTGGACCCCAACCAGGTAGTCTGCATCTGCCAACATGGCTCAGACTAGAAGTTAGTGACTTCAAACACTGATGCCATGTTTTGGTTTGGCCGCCCCCTAACTCTCTTCCAACCATCCCCAACACTAGTCATCATAGCGCGTCGTGGTAATCGGTGTTCAGGCATACGTAACACGTGGCCCAACCATCTCAGTCGATGAAGATTCATCACCTTATCAACTGATTTACCATCGTTCCCTAATACCCTGCGTCTAACCTCACTATTACTTACTCGGTTATCCCAGCAGATGCGAGCAATATTTCTAAGGCATCTGTGGTCAAATACTAGTAGCCTACGAGTATCTTCTACTCTTAATGGCCATGTTTCACAGCCATAAAGTAGAACAGAGCGAACTGCTGCGCAGTATACTCGTCCCTTAATTGATAGACGGATATCTCGTCTTCGCCATAGGTGACGTAAGTTGGCAAAAGCCAAACGAGTTTTTTGAATCCGTGCTGAGATTTCGTCAGACACCAACTAATTACGGCTGATCAGACTTCCAAGATAAGTGAAGATGTCGACGCGTTCGACTACTTCACTCCCTATCCTTAGTTGAGATGTTGACGCAGGCCAGTCCTGGATTAACAATTTACATTTAGATGGGGAGAAACACATCCCAAACATCCTGGCATTATTACTCAGTCCTAACAGAAGACTCTGGATTTTGTCAGCGTCTTCACCAAACAGGACTATGTCATCTGCGTATTCTAAGTCCATAAGTGAACCTCCTGGTAGAAGATCAATTCCTGTAAATTCAGTCGCCGAGAGTGTTATTTCCAGCAACAGGTCTATAATGAAGTTAAACAAAAATGGGGATAGTGGACAGCCTTGACGGACACCACTTGAGGTTGTAAAATCATATGACAGTTCGCCACAAGCTCTCACTCGACTGACCTAACCCCTCACAAGGTCTATGTACTTCTCAGGTATACCTTTCAATGACAGACACTAACACAACCTCTCAGTCTACAGAGTGAAATGCTGCTTTCAAGTCAAGAAATACTATCATTGTCGGACGCCGATAAACATGTCTGTGCTCTAAAACCTGACGAACAGTAAATATGTGGTTTATACAGCCACGATCAGGTCTGAATCCAGCCTGGTTTTCTCGTGTTTGCAGTTCACGAGTCTTAGTTAAGCGTCCGATAATTATTGAGACTAGTATTTTAGATGCTATGTTAGTCAGACTAATCCCTCTATGGTTATCACAGGATGATTTTAGCCCCTTCTTATATATTGGGACAATAAGTGATTGTGCCCAGTCGGATGGGATTACGCCCAACTCCCAGATTTTAGCCAAAATATTAGTTAACCTAGTCGCTAAAATTGGGCCACCATATTTAAAGACCTCTGAAGCCAATCCATGTGGACCAGCTGCTCTTCCTCGTTTAAGATTACTTATAGCTTTTTGAACTTCAAGTAGAGTCGAGGGGGCTACTTCAATATTCCATTCAGGTTTTCTAGGAGTAGTGGGTAGTTGTGCAGTAGCTGAAGGCCAGCTGAACTGCTCCTTAAAGTGTTCCGCCCATCGTTCTAAACGTTTGGGTTGAAAGCAGATAAGGGTTCCGTCCTTTTCCGAGATTGCCTCACTTACACTTGACTTATTAATTCCGGTTTCTTTTATTAGTCTGAATAGTTGCCTGGTGTTGCCTACAGCCGCTGCCTTTTCTATCTCTTTTGCTTTCGTTGCCCACCACTGCTCACGATCGTTCCTTAGACTTTTAGTTAACCTAGATCTAATTTGTTTAGGCTCTACGTCGTGTTCAGAGCCTGATGGGATGAGTTTACGCGAATCCATCAGTGAAATAGACTTGGAAGAAACTTATTGGTTTTTGGGAACCCTATGGTTTAAATTACTATTAGATGTAACTGCTGTTTCCACAACTGTTCGTATGTCTTTCCAAGCAGCATCTGTGTCAGTCTCGTTTACAGAACTGCCTAGATGTGAACTCAGTTGTTCCTGGAATTCGCATTTGGCTTTCTCGTCCTCCAGTTCAATCCTAATGGGTCTTCTTAGTGTAGTTTTCCTGCGTCTAGTGAAGCGCAGACAAATGCGTGCTCGTATTAAAGCGTGATCAGAGTCTAAACAAGTATTCCAATACGAGCGACAATCTTCTATTGAGCCTCTCCAACGATGACTGATGACAATATGGTCTATTTGAGTCCATCGTTGGTTTGGTGCAGGTGGTCGCCACGTTAGACGACGTCTCTCTTTGTGCTTAAAATTAGTGATTGCTAAAAATAAACGATTGTCTGAGCATAGTTGCAACAGACGATCACCATTATCGGTTCGTTGAGCCGGAATACTAAAACACCCACCTAAATGTCTTTCTGTTTGATTTAAGCTGCCTACCTGGGCATTAAACTCACCCGCTACGACTACTATGTCTGAGCGCTTAGCTTTTTGAAGAAGGTCAGAGAGCTTTCTGTAAAAGTCATCCTTCACTTCATCATGGCTGCAGTCAGTGGGAGCGTAGGCAGAAACGACGAAAAGGCAACGACGTGTGTCCCTATCCTTCCGAGTTCTTACGGAGCCATTTAGCCGGACAGCACACAGGCGACTTAACGGGGATCCATTCTAGTAGTGCCTGTTCTGCCCTTGTACTAAGTGCTATGTCTACACCTGCAAGTCCACGAGAACTAGTCATGGGGTCGCCAGATACACGGTGGGTGTATTTCGTTGGCTGTCCATTTTGACGATGTGAGGTCAAGTGAATGACCACACTGGGATCATGTATGCGTGTTTCGGAGACACAGCATACATCGATGGTACGAGATTCTAGGGTCTTAGCCAACCGATTTGACACGTGGTACGTGCGTTGAAGGCTCCAATGTGTAGTTTGGAGCGAGGTTTTAGTAGACCTGGGACAGTGTTTCGCGCACTAGAATCGTTGGCCATGGTGACACTTGAGGAGGAAACCGGAACAGGAAGTTTAGTGTTGAAAGTCAAGGTAGAAGGAATAGTAGGAATTGAAGAAGGAGATTGATTATGAATACAGTGGTCTTGAGTGCTGTTAGAGGTATGAGGGCAGTTATCATTTCCCGGTTGCCCACACCGTGGAAGGGTTCTTCTAGAGGTACCTGAAAAGAAAATTGGGTTAGAAGTGGTCTTAATGACCTGAGAGCGTGACCGCAGTGCCCAAGGGACAACTGCTTGAGGTCGGCCACACGCGACCTTTTTGTGGGTAGTTTTTGTGTTAGCTCCGTACTTGTTGGGACCTTACCACCGGAGACGGATATCCGTGGGATAAGGCGAGGTGTTCATTTTTAGGGTCGACCTTTTCTAACCCCACCCCTCCTTGTGGGAAGGCAGCATCGCTGTCATGCTGGTTGTCTGAAGGAAACACCTTACTGCTGTCACACCTCTGTACAGTCAACAGTACGACTTCGCCTTCGGACCTTGGGTTTGCTGCTTTTAGTCTCACCGCTCTTCAACCGACCTGTCTGGCATGGTAGGACCTCGAGGAACGATTGTTCCAGCCAGCATAGCTCGATTGGTTCATCACGATAGGCAAGCCCGACCACCACGTCAAGGTAGCAGCAATGGTCGGGAACTATGCTTTATAACGTGTCTTAATGGTTCCCTATGGAATCATTTTAATGATTTAAATAACTACTCCTTTAAATGTATATCACTACGACTTTTTCTCTTTTAACTTTCTAAACGGATAGGTCAACAAATGGTATGAATACAAAGTAGATATTTGTTACAAGTCTTATACAAGTCGTTTGTTTCAGATGAGACCTCTGTTCAAACGTAGGAGTCGTATTTGTTTCCATTAATGTGCTTTTCTAGTGAAAGCGTAATCTCAAGCTTTTGCTTGGGGAAATGGTATAAAATGTAGTCATACTTCTCATGTCTTTGTATCCAAGTGAAATATATTTTTATGTGATGAAAGGTTGCTGGTATCTTAATCACCATGTTCAGTTTTGTTTTACGGTGTAATAAACTTATCATACTTTGTAAAACGTCAAAACTATTCTAATTTCTTCAAATTTTGTGGTTAAAGAACATTTTTGAGTCAGTGTTTGCACTTATTCATCAAGTTTTCATTGTAATATTGATTTCATTCAAAGAAATTCTTAAGATGCACTACTGAACACCCATATTATGCGTATCATTATCCAAACCATAAGGCAGGATTCAGGTTTTTTTATTGCTAAGCTGCCAAGTTAAATCTTGGTATTCTCAATGCTAAAATAAATGCCATCTGGTAGTTCTTTTTGTGGAATCAAATTTTTAGATATTTTTTGACAAACCTTAGCGTCTCGTAAGTAAAGTCACAGGAAGCAAAATCCAATCTAAGACCTCCTTGTGGCTCTGCAGGGTAGTAGGGGCAACTTTGCTAGCTAGCTTGGTTGGTCAGTGGAGATGAAACTGATCCACTACTGTGCCGTGAATCGGCTTCAGTGGGTTCCATTTTTCGGGGCTCTCAAAGTGTCTTGCGGGCCGCCAGATGTCTATGTATACGTATATGAATTGCATGAGACTCTGTAGTGTATGTTTATAGGTATATACAAAGGGTACGTGTGCGTTAGCACAGGGAATGTAAGCTGAAGAATGCCTTCTCTGTGTTTAATAAGATCAGCGACCCAGTGCTCATGCTAATGTGTACATCATAAAGGCTTAACCAAGCTTAACACGGCTGGAACACCGTTACTTACTTACTTTCGCCTGTTACTCCCAATGGAGCATAGGCTGCCGACCAGCTTTCTCCAACCCACTCTGTCCTGGGCCTTCTTTTCTAGTTCTTTCCAGTTCTTGTTCATTCTTCTCATGTCTGTCTCTATTTCTCGCGTAATGTGTTCTTTGGTCTTCCTCTTCTCCTTCGACCTTCAGGATTCCATGTGAGGGCTTGTCTTGTGACACAATTGGGTGATTTCCTCAAAGTGTGCCCAATCCACTTCCAGCGCTTCTTCCTGATTTCTTCCTCCGCTGGAATCTGGTTTGTTGTCTCCCACAGTAACTTGTTGCTGATAGTGTTTGGCCATCGGATCCGAAGTATCTTGCGTAGACAGCTGTTAATAAACACTTGTATCTTCTGGATAATGGCTTTCGTAGTTCTCCACGTCTCTGCCCCATACAATAGAACTGTCTTGACATTTGTATTGAAAATTCTAACCTTGGTGTTGGTTGACAATTGTTTTGAGCTCCAGATGTTTTTCAGTTGTAAGTATGCTGCTCTTGCTTTGCCGATCCGCGCCCTCACATCTGCATCTGATCCACCGTGTTCATCAATGATGCTGCCCAGATATGTAAAGGTTTCCACATCCTCCAAAGCTTCTCCGTCAAGTGTAATTGGATTGGTGCATATTGTATTGTATCGGAGAGTCTTGCTTTTCCCTTTGTTTATATTGAGACCTACTGCTGCTGAGGCTGCTGCTACACTGGTCGTTTTCTCCTGCATTTGTTGTTACGTTTGTGATAGAAGAGCCAGATCATCCGCGAAGTCTAAATCGTCAAGCTGCATCCTGCCTGTCCACTGTATCCCGTGCATTCCTCCAGATGTTGACGTCTTCATAATCCAGTCGATCACCAGGAGAAAGAGAAAGGGTGAGAGTAGGCAACCTTGCCTAACACCGGTCTTTACCTCGAACGAGTCGGTGAGTTGTCCTCCGTGGACGATTTGGCAGTTTAGTCCATCATAGGAGTTCCGTATGATGTTGACTATCTTCTCAGGCACGCCGTAGTGTCGAAGAAGCTTCCATAGTGTCGTCCTGTCCACGCTATCAAATGCCTTCTCGTAGTCGATGAAATTGATGTAGAGTGATGAATTCCATTCGATTGATTGTTCCACAATGATACGTAGAGTTGCGATTTGGTCTGTACACGATCTATCCTTACGAAATCCAGCTTGTTGATCTCGAAGTTGGGCGTCCACGGAATCCTTCATCCTGTATAACAATACCCTGTTGAAGACTTTCCCTGGTATTGAGAGGAGAGTGATGCCCCTGTAGTTGTCGCACTTGCTCAGATCGCCTTTCTTTGGTATCTTGATGAGAAGTCCTTCTTTCCAGTCTGTTGGTACATGTTCTTCGTCCCAAATCTTACCGAAGAGGATGTGGAGTATCTTGGCAGTTGCTGTTACATTTGCTTTCAGTGCCTCTGCCGGGATGTTGTCTGGTCCCGCTGCTTTGCCACTCTTGATTTGTCTAATGGCCATGCTGATCTCTTCAATTGTCGGTGGGCCAATATCGATTGGGAGGTCTGTGGGTGCTGCTTCGATGTTGGGTGGGTTCAGTGGAGCTGGTCGATTCAAGAGTTCCTTGAAGTGTTCTACCCACCTGTTTCGTTGTTCTTCAATATCGTTGATTACTTTGCCTTCCTTGTTTTTCACTGGTCTTTCTGGTTGACGGTAATTTCCAGCAAGTTTCTTTGTTGTATCATACAGTTGTCTCATGTTTCCCTCTCTTGCAGCCTTTTCCGCTGTCATCGCTAAATCTTCCACATATTTACGTTTGTCGGTCCTGATGCTCCTCTTCACTTGCTTGTTTGCCTCTGTGTATTCGGCTTGTGCCTTGGCTTTTTCTGCTCTTGTTCGGCTGATATTGATTGCTACCTTCTTGTTACTCCTTGCTTCAATTTTATCCAATGTGCCAACAGTGATCCATTCCTTGTGATGGTGCTTCTTTTGGCCCAGAACCTCCTGACATGTTGAAACGATTGCCTCCTTGATACCTTTCCAGCTGCTCTCTATGGTGGTTCCTTCTCCATTGAGTAGGTCATGAAAGGCCTCGAACCTGTTGCTGAGGGCTATGTTAAATTCGTTGAGTTTGTCAGCATCTCGAAGAAAGGCCGTGTTAAACTTTTGTGATGTTGTCCGCGCCATTGTCCAGTGCTTCTTGAGTTTTAGTTTCATCTTGGCGACCAGCAAATGGTAATCGGATGCTATATCAGCTCCTCTTCTGGTTCTCACATCCTCCATCGTCCTCCTGAACTTTTTGTTGATGCAGACATGGTCGATTTGATTTTGTGTAGTGTGATCCGGTGAAATCCAAGTGGCTTTGTGTATGTTTTTGTGTGGGAATATGGTGCCACCTATGACCAGTTTATTGAAGGCACATAGGTTTGCAAATCTCTCACCATTTTCATTCCTTTCTCCCAGTCCATGTTGTCCCATGACGTCTTCGTATCCAGTGTTGTCCTTTCCAACCTTGGCATTGAAATCTCCCATTAGAATGGTCAGGTCCTTGGTTGGGCACTTCTCGAAGATTGACTGCAGCCTATCGTAGAATTGGTTTTTAGCGTCTTCATCGTAGTCGTTGGTCGGCGCATAGCATTGGATGATGTTCATTGTAATGCCCTCTCTCTTTGTTCTGAAGGAGGCTTTGATGATCCTCGGTCCATGAGATTCCCATCCTATAAGTGCATTTTGTGCTTTTCTAGACAGCATCAGTGCCACTCCTTGTGTATGTGGGGCATTTTCTTCTTCATGACCGGAGTATAACAGAAGTTCCCCTGAAGACAGTCGTTGTTGTCCAACCTGCGTCCAATGTGTTTCACTGATTCCAAGCACTTCCAGGTTGTATTTCCTCATTTCCGCAGAAATTTGGAAGACTCTGCCGGTCTCCCACATTGTCCGGACATTCCATGTACCTATAAAAATTGTCGCTCTGGTTGTAAGAAGGTGCATCGGCCTCATGACTTCCGAATGAACTCGGCTTTCATCATGAGACGTCATTTTTCCTTCTACTCCCAGGGCAGAGTTTGAATGGTTTGAATGATTTTTTCTGGTTAGCATTTTTTTAGCGAGTTGATTTTCTACGGGATGGGGTCGCTAACCCCATGCCCAACCCTCCTCCTTTACCCGGGCTTGGGACCGGCAGTAGCCCCTGGAGGAGCTACAGGCGGAGTTTGGAACACCGTACTAGCCAAATTACGCAACATGATTTATGCATTGGGCAATGAGTTTTTGAAAGCGCTGACACGTTTACCTTTAAATTAATTATATTTACCGCTTAAATCCATTCATTGGCATTTGTTTACTAAAGCACCGAGTGGAAAATTTGTGTGAATGCAATACCCTCCCAACTTACTATTTATGGATGCTCAGTGGTACTCTCATCATCTTACCTTTACATTTTCCACAAAGTTCTTTTAAGAAATGTAGTAATACTAGCTGTTACGAATTATACGTTACTATCTAGATACATTATTATGTGATTCTTTTATGCCTTTGAAGTAGTTATTGCAATCAAACAACGAGATAAAGCGACAGATATTTGGAGTATATCAGACGACAATTTTCAGTATCACTGAGCATCTAAGATACTAAATTCACTTGATATTGTTTACTTGAATCGTCCCGTTGATGTTTGGGACTGCAATTGATCAGTCTCTTATTGGTATGTGTGCATCCTGTGCGTATTGCCTTAATTCACAAGCATTCTAATCAAAGATGGATAGTGGCTTGCAGTGGAATCGAGGAAGCGCGTTTCAATTGCAGTCGTAAACATCAATGGGAAGATTCAAGTAAACAATATCAAGTGAATCTAAACTTCACCCCATTGCACAAGTAAATGGCTATCAAGACTCAGTAGCAGCTAAATGGATAACGCGATGGCGTTTGCAGTAAACGGTACTGGGTTCGAGTCCCGGAGTGAACATCAACTCTGAGATGCAGGTACATCTAGCTGACAAGTCCCAAATAAAAGGAAACTCTCGTTTTGAATCCCACTGTTAGTCACTATCCATCTTTGCCTAGACATCTAAGATACTGTTTCAAGATTTTTAAATGCAGCTTAAGGCTTTGTGTACGAATTTGTCTTCAGAATAATTCTAATTAAAATCAAATAGAATATCTTGAATAGCATATGACTTCGTTTCTTACCTACTATGCACTTATTATTGTTTCTTTTTCTATAGACTGGATTATTAAAGATTGTCAAAAATATTGTGGAACATGAAGGGGTGCCAGGTTTATTTAGAGGATTAGGACCAAATATTCTTAAAGTTCTACCGGCTGTTAGTGTTTCTTATGCATGTTACGATCAAATTAAAGCATTTCTACATGTTTCGAAATAGATCTCTATTCTATTTTATTTGGCTGTATATTAGATCCTGACCATCCATAAAATATATTCGGATTTCCGAAAACTTATTTATGTTAACTGTTTAATTACTGGATGCAATTGCTCTTATTTTTTTCTAAGAATTCATCTGTTTATGTTTTATAAGGAGAAAAAAAAGCTAATTAAATGTAATAGACCATATTTTATTTTTGAGTGATCTATACTTTATCTTCTTTTAATTTGATGTTATTGTTTCAATATTGAGATTTCAAATGAGCTTTGTGTTCTATTTTAATCCATCATTATCATCATCTTTCTGAATGTTTTTCTTTTCATCAGTGACAAGCAATGGATATATTTTATATACACAAATATAGTAGTTTTCTGGCACTTACACATTTACTTTTTTCTACGATGTATCATTTTTCTTTTTCTCTACTGACGTTCATCATTTACTTCTGCAATTGATTTTTAATATATCGCATACATCTTTAAGATCACTCTTGTCAGCATAATGGATTATTTCATATAAAATGTTCTTTTTGTTGTTGCTTAAATCCGGATATTGAATACACTTTTTATAATCTTTCCTACTTTATATATCATTCTATATAAATCAATTAGTTATTTGGTTTTTACAGCTTTAAAATGGAACAGAAGGACTAAATCAAGATAAATTCTCATTTTCATATGATTACCTGAATAGTTTTTCTAATTTTTCATCATTTAGAGATGTTGTCTCATCACTGCTTTTATTTACTTATCATTCTGAAGCCATAATGAGGTGGTGACTTTTGGTTTAAAACTCAGCTTTCAATCATAGTGTCGGCATTTCAATCGCCCCAACTGATTGGCATCACTAGCTGTTACACAATGTATGGTTCGAAGGCAAATACATAAATATATATGTGGTGAATTAGTTACTGTTTCATATGTGGATTTCTTCATTCACACAGTGGTGTGTTTTAATAATAATTATTCATATTACTCCTATATTGTATCTACTTCACTATTAGGAACAACGACTGAAACAGTTTTGAATTTCTTTTGGTAATATTTTAACCCAACTTTCTCAGACGGTAGTCATATCCTGAAATTTTAACTAAGGTAAAATGTTGTTCGTTAGTTTGATAAAGGTTGATCTTATGTAGTTTAGTTGATTGATATATGTACAGGTTCTCAGTAGCATAATTATTGATACTAATTAACTAAAATTTTATAATTGGGATGAAATGTTCAATTTTTATTACAATAACGAACACTATTGCAACGTAAACTTAATTTATTTCCTCAATTTTGTATTGGTTGCTTGAATTTTTCCATTGATGTTCAGGACTGCAATTGATCAGTCTCCTATTGGCATATATGTATGCCGTGTGGATTGCCTCAATATTGCCTTCAGTCATAAGCATCATGAGGTGGGATTATGGTAGCTAGCAGTGGAATCTAGGATGCTTGTTTCGAACTATTTTAAACTCGTCAGTTGGATGTACCTGCATCCCAAAGTTGATATTCACTTCAGGACTGAAAGGAATATCGAGGCAATACGCACAAGATGCACATATTCCAATAATAAACTGATCAATTGCAGTCCTAAACATCAATGGGAAGATTCAAGCAACCAATACAAAATTGAAATAAACTTTACCTTATTCTTCAAGCTATCTGAACTCAGTAGCTAAATGGATAACGCGATGGCGTTTGAAGCGGAAGGTGCTGGGTTCGAGTCTCGGAGTGTATAACAACTCTGGGATGCAGATGCATCCGGCTGGCGAGCCCTAAAGAGGACGAAACGCGTATTGTGGATTTTACTGCTAGCCACTATCATCTTAGTTTAATTTACCTCTGTTCTAACCGTAATATCTTTCAAAAAATGTATTCACTCCTAATAGTTTGAATAAATAAAGAACAAAATATACATTGCTAAATGTTCTCTTTTGTTTTACACTTATGAAAGGGTTAAAACAGTTTCATGCAATGAAGTTGTACCACACTGTGTAAACAAACTCAGAAATCCAAGAGTACAAAGTAAGAAGGTAATTTAAAAATGAAACTGATATTGTAAATCCCAAACAGTTGGACCGGTAAATATAAGTTCAAAGTTGCTAATTGCAGCTGTTAATATGACATCAGAGAGAAATGAATGGCTTACTGATTCAGCAAATGGACATGAATCAGAGGTAAAGGTGTTTAAGTCAATCTTTAAAGATAACCTTGCAAGATTATTTCCTTAATGGTTTATCAAATGAACAATTTATAGCTTCTTATTTATCAGATATCTTATTGTATCATTCATCTCAAGTCCTGTTTAGTCACTGACTTGTTTTTATTTCACTATTCATAATAGTGACCTCGTTTTCAGTGATGTCAAGCTTTTTCTTATTGAATAACTATTAGTCTTTTCTGTATTCTTATGGATTTAATAAATTTATCAGTCAAGGATCTATTTTTTGTTTCTTACTAACTAGTGTTAAGCGAAGGGAAAAAAGTTACTATTTGTTTCTATTCAAAGAACTTGGTACTTTCCTGAATACTCGGGATGTATTACTTTCACAATTGAAATAAAGTCAAATAATCACTGTGGAAGTGGAAGGTCGATTACATTTTGCAAAATAGATTCCGCGAAATCTGTCTACTCCGAAGATTGTACTAAACGTTTTGAAGGTGTTGACTTTATACTCCGTATCCAAGGTTGTATGTGGAGGGGATTACATTGAGATTTATGGTCATGCTATATTTTACGTGCTTTCTGTTTCAGTTACATACATATAAATACAGTAGGTAGTTGTTTCATGAGTGAAAATATGTTTAACTTTTTCATTCAACGGTTCATGAGACTAGCTAAAATCCATGTGATATTTATACGAGTCAACGTTTTTAAAAAAAAAATTAAATCACGAGCCGATGAAAATTAGAAGACCATTGGAAAAGTAGAAGCACTAGATGGCAGTTTCGTCCTGGTATGGGACTCAGTGGTGCGCAACCCCGAGCCTACAAGCGGGAATTAAATCAAAGTCATTCTGTCTCTATCGCGAACACTCAATATCCACTGAGCTAGTATCCATAGTGTACAAGTCTAACTTTGATTGACCCATGATAGTGCGCGACCATCCTTCATTGTCGTCGGGGAGTAACTGGGTCATACGACACGGTTTAGCTCCTCTAGTCATGACGATTTGTAATACTTACGATGTATCTTTTTGTTTCTATTTGACCCCCGCCTAGTTTATTATTTCCCATGAGCTATAGGTTATAAGTAGTTAGTTAAGGACTGTAACAAACAATAAGATCAGTCTAACTAGTCATGATTCAAGATCTAAGGAAAATGTAAACAAGCCAAAAATATAACCCGTTAGAATAACAGCCAAACTAGAAGTTAAGAAACAGGGAGAGAAAAATTGACGACAGAAATATAGGGTAGAAAGATGGTATCTCCAGAAATACACAATATAGACCCGTCTGCACCATCCTAATACATTTTCAATTTTTTGTCTAGTAACCCATTTTAGTTGTTTCGTGAACTTCGATCTGGAAATTTAGATAACATAAATTAAAATCACGATTCAAGCTTCTTCCGTTTCACTTTTAATTCAAAACACGTAAGTAGTTAGATTGTTGATTTTCCAAATAGGACACTAACTTTTCCTCTCAGACGGTTTCGTTGTGTAGGTGTAAATATTTGGTAGTATCGTTGGTCCGCTGTCCGTAACTGACGTATTTTCCGGATAAGGTAATTATGCTTATAAGTCTATGAAGCAGTAATGTTCTCCATATATATATATATATAGTTTACATAATTCAGTTATCAGTAAATATGTCCATGTTGTATCGTTGGGGAGATCCAAACTGTTCCTCGGAAAAGTCCTTTGGGTCCCAGGAAACGCTGGGACATATTTTATGTAGTCAGCGTTGAGTAGAATCTTCACAGAAACATCTAGGAAGTGAAAAGTCACGCGTCCCTTTGGATTGGATACTTACTAATGCTGCTACTATATTTAGTTTGTTTCAGAAACTTCCGAGAGCCCAAGGTCATCTGGAATACTAAAAATACCCTCAATTTTCTCTACATAAAATAACTTTGGAGTAAAGCGATCTTTTCACACTTTGTGCCTTTCTCGTTGTGTTCAAGTTTCCGTGAAGATTTAACCTGAGGTAATTAGAAGCATTTAGGAAACCGATTCAAGCTTTCAGTTAGAAGACTTGTTGTATATGCATTGTGATGTTTCCTCTCAATCTCTGGTACTGTATTCATCTACATGAGGATGGAGTTTAGTAAAACTATAACTTACACCTGGTAAACCTCTCGAAGGAATACAGGCCACCCACCAGGATTCTCCACCGAACTCTTTCCTTGGCTCTCCTTTCCAGTTGCTATTCATTCATTTGATGTCTTCCAGTTTCAGACTCAATGTTTCCATGTTTCATTTTGACTCCAATTAGATTGGACGATGATATAATCGACGGGCTCACCACTTCAGTGGCTCTTGTATTTGACTCCAGTTAGTTAGTTTCTGATTGTTTCCGAAATATACATACCCTCGTATATAATTATCGACTCGAATCGCGTTAGTGTATAACGGAACTAAATAAGTCAAACACGAGAATGGATTCCGAGTACGTATACTTTATATAATCATTGATACAGACAGGCGATCAAAGAAACGAAGAGGAAACAGTGGAGCGAGACGAAATGACGCGTGGTGGAGGAGGCGAGTGAGCCAATTTGATTTACCCAAGCGTGACTCAATATTTATAGGCACACCAAAATTAAGTTACGGACACATAACGAATGGGATAAGTAATTAACACGCATAAGACCATATAATAACAGTCAGGGTTAATGAACGAATAAGCGACAGGGTAAAGATATGACTTGAGAAAAATGGATAGATCGGTCTGTTCAGAGGCTAGAGTAACCTATATGAGCTTGATATAGTACCAGCTCCTACCTCTTCCTCTTTTCACTTTTCAGGATTCGGAGTAAAGGCTTCCCTTGTGATGTTTGATGGTTTTCGCAATGTACGCCCTACTCACTTCCAGTGTCTTTTCGTAATTTCCTCTTCAGATGGATATTGGTTTGTTCTTTCCCATAGTAGGCTATTACTGATGGTATCCGACCAACGGGCAATGAGTATCTTACGTAGACAAATGTTTATAAATACTTGAACATTTTTGATGATGGTTGTAGTAGTTCTCCAAGTTTCATATTGAAGATTCTGACTTTGGTACTTGTTAGCAGTTGTTTTGAGTTCCATACGTTCTTCAATTGTAGGAATGATGTCCTTGCCTTGTCAAACCTCGCCTTCACGTCTGAATCGGATCCTCCGTATCCATTAATGATACTGGTCAGGTACGTGAAAGTTTCCACCTCTTCCAAGGCTTCTACAATAAGTGTGATTGGATTGGTGTTCTCTGCGTTGTATTTGAGGATCTTGCATTTTCCCTTGTGTATGTTGGGGCCTACTGATGCAGAGGCTTCTGTCACGCTGCTTTTCTTCACTTGCATTTGTTGGTGTGTATGGGATAGAAGGGCCAGGTCATCTGCGAAGTTCAAATCTTCTAATTGATTCTGAGTCGTCCATTGTATTCCGTGCTTTTGTTTAAATGTCGAGGTCTCAATAATGTGGCCGACCACCAGAAGAAAGAGAAAAGGGGAAAGTAACCAGCCTTGTCTGACTCCGGTCCTTACTTGGAATGCATATGTCCTCCACGCACGACTTCGCACTACAGTCCGTCGTATGAATTCCGGATGGATGTTGACGATCTTCTCAGGTACACCATAGTGTCCAAGAAGGTTCCAAAATGTTCCCCTATCCAAACTGTCAAATGCTTTCTCATAGCCAAAGAAGTTGATATATAATTACCAGTTCCATTTAATTGATTGTTCAACTATGACCCGTATTGTCGCGACCGTACATTACAGAATACGGTTTGTTTATCTTGAAGTTGGTCGTCCACTGAATCTTGATTCAGTTCAACAAAATTGTTAACAACTTTTTCTGGCATTGATAGAAGTGTGATGCCTCTGTAGTTCTTACACTTGCTGAGATCTCCTTTCTTTGGTATCTTTATGTAGTGTCCTTCTTTCTAGTCTATCGGCACTTGTTCTTCCTTTCAAACCTTCCTGAATAAAACGTGGAGCATATTTGCAGTTAGTTCTATATCTGGCTTCAGAGCTTCGGTTGGTATATTGTCAGGTTCTGCTGATTTCCTACTCTTGATTTGTCTGATGGCAATCCTGATTCCTTCGATCGTTGGTGGAGTGACATCTATAGGAAGGTCTGTAGGTGATTCTTCGATATCCGGTGGGTTCAGTGAGACTGGTCTACTCAAGAACTCTTCAAAATATTCCACCTACTTGTTCCTTTGTTCTTGGATCACAGTGATTGGCTTTCCTTCTTCGTCCTTGACCAGTCTTTCTGGCTTATTACGTTTCCCTGCTAATTTTTTCGTTCCATCATAGAGTTGTCACATATTTCCTTCTTTTTCAGCTGTCATTGTGTTGGGGATGTTAAATCCCCAGAACTCAAATGGTAAATGACCTGTTTTTGTAATTTTATTCTGAAAATTTGAATTTCTTTGTTTTCGCGCCAAAAGCGCTCTTTTCACCTTCGAGTCGTATTTCCCACTTGGCAAAAATCTTAAATGCTGTTGGTCCGGTGTATCTTTTAGTGTGCTATTTTGTGATGCTGCCCAAGGACAATTTTATGCTGCATATATACGTTTGATTTCTTCCCTTTATGATTGTTGTACTTCTGGCTGTTTACGGAATAAATTTTCCCCGCTTCCAACTTGGACTTCCTACTCTAGTTAGCTGGATCTGGGACGCGTCAGAATAGCTAGTTTATCGTTCTCTGGTCACAAGTCTTTGTTCCGTTCGCTGAATAAGTTAATTCGAAACGCTTTAGATATAACACATTGCTAGTTCTTCTACGTATTTCTGCCTGTTAGTTCTAATGCTCTTTTTCAATTGCTTGTTTGCTTCTATGTATTCAGCTTGTGCCTTGGCTTTCTCTGCTCGTGTTTGGTCGTTGTTAATTGCTGTATTCTTGTTCTTCCTTTCTTGAATCTTGTCCATGGTTTTGATAGAGATCCATTCCTTGTGATGATGCTTCTTGTGACCCAGCACCTCCTGACACGTTGAAGTCAATGGGTTTTTTTATCCCTTCCCAGTTGTCTTCCATAGTAGTTTCTTCTTCTCTCGGTAAATCCTGTAAGGCTTGGAACCTGTTGCTGAGAGTTATCTTAAATTCGAGTTTGTCATTATCTCAAAGGAAGGCTGTATTGAATCTTAGTAATGCTGTTTGTCCAATACTTCTTTAGTTACAGTTTACTCTTGGCCACAATCAGGTGGTGATCTGAAGCTATTTCAGCTCCTCTCCTTGTTCTCACATCGTCCATTGACCTTCTGAATTTTTTACTGATGAAAATATGATCTATAGGTTCTTTGTGGTGTGATCCGGTGAGACCCATGTAGCTTATTGTATGCGTTTGTGTGGGAATACTGTGCCGCCTATAACCAAATTGTTGAATGCACATAGGTTTGCAAATCTCTCCCCACTTTCACTACTTTTTCGTAGTCCATGTCATTCCATGATATCTTTATACCCGGTGTTGTCCATTCCGATTTGGGCATTTAGGTCTCCCATCAGGATGGTGAGATCCTTTCTCGGGCACTTGGTTATGATTGATTGCAGCCTTGAGTAGAACTGATCATTATTGTCGTTCCTGTTATCATTGGTGGGTGCATAACATTCATCTTGATTCCATTCTTTGTTTTGAAAGACGCTTTGATGACCCTGTACCCGTGAGATTCTCATCCTATAAGTGTATTACGTGCCTCTTTGGACAGCATCAGTGGAACTCTGAGTGTGTGGAGCATTTTCTCATTCGTGACCGGAGTACAGCAGCATCTCCCGTATCTAGCCTCTGCTGTCCAGCTTGGGTCCAATGGGTTTTGCTGATTTCGAGTACTGCCAAGCTGTATCTCCTCATTTCAGTTGCTATTTGACTGGTCCTCATGGTTTCTCACACTTTCCTATTATTTCGTATGAAGCGATGGTCTTCTTATCTTAAATATGACAATAAAAATTTCATAATTGAGTTATTTCCGAATAAGGAATTACAACATCATCTGAGGAGCGATTTCCGTTTATTGTTTTATCTGTATTCTTCCTAACGTTTTTTAACAAGGTTGTTTTCTACGGAGTGGGGTTACCGACCCCATGCACAACCTTACTCCTTTAACCGGGTTTGGGACCGGTAATAACCCTAGAAGAGCTACAGGCTAAGTTGTGACTATAAACCTTGAACTAAAACAACCTCCTACTAATTTAAGATTCTAAATTCAAAAGACTTACAAAAACTGAAGAGACTGAAATTCAGAAATCAAATTACTTGGTAACAGTTTTAAAAATCCGCATATTCATAACGGCTCTCAGAGATGGATATGCTTTTTTCGATAATACAGCATCGAATGAAACCATTAGTCACAATTATTCGGTGGAAACATTACCAGTATTTATGAAGTTTATTTCACTCAAAATACATTTACTTCTAAGAAAAAAATCAAATGATCCAACTTATACATGATTTTGTATTTTCACATAACGAATTGGTTTTGGTTAGATAACTATTGAAAACCAATGAGCATTGCAGGGCTATTTTGTCCTCATATGGGGCTCGTCAGCAGTTCACATACATGACCACACTGTTGAGCAAATTTGAGACCTTCAAAACTTCAGGTAAACGTTTAACTTTCAGACAACAGTATTGACATCCAATAGTCTATATTAATGACCACAATCAAAAAGAAATCTTATAGAGTAATCTAATTTTTTCTAGCAAAAAATTTCTCCGTAAATCAATTATTAACACCGATAAAATAATTATTACTTTCATCTGTTTTGTTGCAAATAAAGTTTATAATTTGAAAATATGTTTCTATCATTACAATTATTATATCTATTGGCTGATAGGCATAGATTTAAACCATAGATCAACACTTTCAATTAATGTACATTTTGATTTTACAAATTCAATTAAAAAGTGCATTATTCTAAAAGCTAATTGTAATAAATCATCAAATCTTGTATGATAACATATAATAAATTGTTCATTGAATTTCTTTGTATTTGTTGTAACATTTAAAGGTTTCGACTGTTTTTGACATAACCAATTTAAAACACGTTCTATTAGTAAATGTTCCATTTGTTCAGATAAAGGTTGAAGATAAGTTATTAATTTGGCAAATAAACTCATTAAACAAACGACTGGCTAGAAAAAAACATTTTTTAAAGAAAATAAGTTTATTAATGATGCAAGTAATCTAATGTTTAATAAAATACTTTAGTTTATATGTTTAAAAAAATAAAGAAAACATTTTAAATGGTAAAATAAATAGCAACATACAACTCATTAGTTGTTGGGTTTTTTTGTTGCTGACGGTTGAAAGTCTGATCATCGTCTAAGCATTTTATTGTTATATCCTCTGCATGTTTATTAAAGAACAATAAATTTATTGATCGCCCAATGATACACAAAACCTGTATAAGCAGTCTTGAACCCTTACCAGTCCTGTTATTTGCCTAGCCCAGCCAGTTAAGTCAAGAACACCAATAACAGCCTCTGCAATATGAATCACTATTCTCATACATACTGAGTTTATAACCAAACAAACTGACCACATCGTAACATAAAATAGAAAATAACATTGTACAAGATTTGACCAAATGTGGCTGTGAATAGGGGAACGGTAATTAATGGATCACGGATAACTTAAGAATGGTAAATCGTATAATAATATATATAGGTCAAAATGAAGCTTATAATAAGAGGGACACGAATATGAATAGTTTAGTTACTTAACAATTATACAATAGGAAATATACATATCATATTGGTCCATAAATAGTTCTCAAAGTTACCACTCCTAAATCTCCACGGGATACAACATTTATAAAGAGTTAACTTGATATATACACACTAGGACATACTTTTATTAACCAGCGAGGTTTTTTGATCTCAGTTTGAATGGAATAAATTGGTTTGTAAAAAATATCAACATACTATCGAAGTAAAACCTGAGAAGAATCTAATTAACAACAATATTATTCATTTGTATATTTTATTATACATTACGCAATGAAAACTTTCTTAATATTTTATAATCAAGCGAAAGTTAGTTGAGAAAATGGTCAAAGATGATGTGATGTCATAATAGCAAAGTTCTTTTAGTTAATAAGTCATAATCAACGCAGAGCTTCACATAATTGTATGCTAACTCGAGTTGCCATACCAAAATAGCAAAATAAGATAAAATAATAAGTTAGGTAGTGAAAGAGTCGAAATAATGTAATAGAAAAGGCAACGAAGAAGACAAAACATTGAGGATATGATTCAAAAATACAAAAAAGGCGTACATAAAGGAATGCTAGGATTCAAGATGAAAGGTGATACAACTGAGTCGTTATGACCGATCGTGAGTCATTTTACATCAGGTATTTTGCACATAACAACTTGGTTCAGATTCACAGTCAGTGACTTCGTGGATTGATCCCACATTTTGGTTCCACTACCTCTAGCTTACCCATTTAGTAGATGGACGGTTAAGCATAAGTGGAACTCATCCTAGTCATCTCAGTTGACGTAAGTTCATAGTTCCACCAATCAATTATCTAGCCTTAGTGAAATTTGCCTAACTTTACAAGTAATCACTCTGAGAACCTGGTTGTTCAACCACTTACTCTAAATATGTTGGATAATTCTGGCATGAAGTTACGGTGTTACTATTGGAATCTATTAGTTAGACATGCACACTTATATAGTTTTGTTGTTACGTAGATCATTTTTTGTAAGCACCTCAGTAATTAACCTTGTTCTTGCTTTACTTAAATTTGTGAAAGCAATAATCTGCCTGAAACCTCGGTGGTATTCATCGAGTTACTGTAGAAACATGCTGATTATGCAATCTAAGTTATTCCCGCTTCTCTATTACTTACTTAGGGAAACGTATGTTAACTGACTAATGGTGTTTCGTCGCCACAAACAAAGCACTTATACAAATAGCATACATTCTAATACATTACGAATTATCACTACTATTACCTTAATAATTTATGAAAAAATTTCCCGTGTTACTGCTACCATGAAGCTTATGTATACTTGTCGTTTTCATGTTTTTCGCCCTGCCTTATGTCACATTTATTGTTACTTTTAAAAGTGTCCGTTTGTCAAATCTTTCTATATTATGATAATTAAAGTTAAACAGCTTATTGAGTTAGAGATACTATGACTGATCGTTTAGCTTCAAATGGATTAAAGTTAAAGCCGACTTTCATGAATGTAGTCACATTGAAAGATTAGAGTCTGTAATAAGGCTACACAGCCGTAAAGTAATGGGGCACTTGTTTAGCAGATCAATCAATTCTCTACTGTGTTGCATGTTTAGATTACCCATTACCCATTATCATGCAATTCATTGAAGTGGTTATAGAAAAACTGAATAATCTCAATAATGCTGAGGAAAATTAGTTTAATTTAGCCTATAGAAACTGCTATTTACGCGAGTAAATATACCGTCTACTTCAATACTCATAATATAATTAAATACATTCCAACGTGTGTTCAGGAGATAGACAAAATAATAAGCTGTTTAACTCAATCTTAATGTTAACAACACACATTCATTTCTAGCATACAAAGTAGTCGATATATTAGTCGCTTTATTAGGGACTCTTGGTTTAATAAATAGTTCATTCGTTCACTAAACTTTACTCATACCCTTAACCATATATTGACTTAATATGCAAAATTATTAAGTCATATAAACTTGGGAAGTTCTATCTTACAGGTTTCATACGGCAGATAGAAATAAAATCAATCATATGATATTAATACTACATGATACATCTAAACATTTTGCTCCAGTCGATTTAGATACCGACAATTGGGTGACGCAAGTTCTGAATGTCCACAGAAGTAAAATCCATAAATCATATAAGTTTATTAATTTGTTCGTTAGTTATGTGAATCATGGCTTATTTTCATCTGAAAAATAAACTAATCATAATCTCGTAGCCCTACTTACAATAAATAAATAACTAATCCGTAAAATTGAACTACTAACCATATCAGATGTTCAAACTAGAACTTACATTTTTCAAGTTGATAATGTTCGCACAGAAAAGATTAAAACATATTTATACGAATGAAAATAATATATAGTTGAAATCATGAGTCAACTGTCTGGTCTGTCGGTTGAGCGCTCGCACGCGAGACCGATAGCTCCTGGGTTCGAATCTCGCGAGGCGGGATCATGGATGCGCACTGCTGAGGAGTCCCACAATACGACGAAACGGCCGTCCAGTGCTTCCAGGTTTTCCATGGTGGTCTAGCTTTAATTGACTCATGATTTCGACTATATAAAATTACTGAAAATCTCCACAAAACGCGCTTCCACAAATGAAAATTATTTATTGTTTTCCAGAGAAAGATTACAGACTAAATCATGGAATTTTATCTGCTATATCAAATAAATTTCGACTAAAAAACTAAGGCTAATTTCAGTTTATTGGTTCCCAAATGCTCAATATAAAATTGGTCTTAAAAAGTTAAGAGAATATTCAACCATTCAAATAACCGATAACATGGTGATGCAATTCACAATAAACTTTATCTTTAGTTGTAATTAGTTCGAAATAATATCAGTTATTTCAAATAAATAAATTTACAAACTGACTACATTCAAAATTGTGCAAGTAGTGAGAACATCACATCTACATAAGATTGCGCATACTTAACTAAAAATAGAATAATGCAATCAGTAAGGATTTGTTCATACCATTAAAAAAACAATAAGATCATATTACCAAATGACAGTTTATTTAATTTCAGTCGACATATACTACTTAACTTCAACATGTTGACAAAATGACAAATTTCAGATTCTTGAAAAGACATTACACAATTAAAATGAACACTTAGTCAAACTTTAATGCAACTTGAAATCAGTTACGGTTGTCGATTATCTAAGAATTGATATTATCATATGTTAATTTTTGATAGTGGAATGAAGATTCAGTTACAATATTCACAGAATACAATTAATGATCTCTCAAAACTGAAGTATAAGTCTTAATAATTTTTCCACATTGAGTTAATGTCATAATTTCCACAGTTGTATAAAACAGATTTCCAATACCACTAAGTCATAAACAGTAAATAAATATCTTTTTAAATCTTTCACAAATAAATTCATTTGGTATTGTTTGTTTGAATGTTCCCATTATTGTTTAAGAATGCAATTGATCAGTCTCTTATTAGTACATGTGCATCCTATATGGATTGTCTCAATATTGCCTTCAGTCATAAGCATGATAAGCAAAGATGGATGGTGAATAGCAGCGAAATCTAGGATGAGCGTTTCGTCCTATTTGGGACTCGTCAGCTAGATGTACCTGTATCCCAGAGTTGATGTTCACTCCAGGATGCAGGGACATCCAGCTGACACGTCCCAAATAAAACAAAACTCTCGTTCTGGATCCCACTGTTAGTCACCATCCATCTTTGCCTATAATCTTTGACCGATATTTCAAAACTATGGCAAATACTCGGACAAGAGCTTATATCTGTTAAAACACAAATCAATATGTGAATATATATATATATATATATATATATATATATATATATATATATATATATGAATATCCATGTGAATATATCATACACTCTTACTTACCTTCTCGAAAATTTCTAGAGAAGTTAATATATCTTCTTCGAATAAAGGATTTTGTTGTAAGCTGAGCAAGTCTTGCATTCGAAGCACTGGAGACTATAAAAGATGTATACATCCATAAGTGTGTAATTTTTGACAGCTAATAACAAAGCTTATTCAAGGGAATATTACTGACAATATTTAAAAGTACTTTTTTTAAGAAAAAAACGATTCATTATAAATCAATGATAAACATTTATCCAATATTTTAGTTACTGAGGTAAAATAGACATACTGTATTGTATGAAATTGAGAAATTCTCTAAAAATACTAAAGTTGTAATGTTGTGTCAAAAATGATTACACTAATATGACGAGATGAAAAGTCAAAATTAGATTCTCTAACCCATTCTGATTTCTGTTCAATTCAATGTGATAATTACTCAGCATAGTATTTGTTTGTTTCCCATTGTGGTATTTTATTCTGTATGAACATTAATTTGAGTGTGGGTGTGATGTTTTATTCAAGATACAATATTCTTGTATTAAATTAACATGAACTATGCTCAACATGACACGTAGAGTGTGGTTTGTTATAACTCTGGGTATTTTTCAAATATGTGATTTTATCCTAATTAATATTCAAAATAGGTTTAAAATCGATATATAATGAGTGTATTTTTGACTAGGGTCGTCGTCGTGTTTTGTGTTTAGTAGATCTACCAGTCTTTGTGTTCCTATCTCGTGTTGTACGAATTGCAGTGGTTCCACGTTTTATAAGTAAAGTATTAAGTGATTCCGATATAACTATCAGCGAGACCAGTCATGATAAATTAACGATGAGATATAACAGATACGAAAAACTGATAGAAACAGAAATATTAAAATAATCTCAATGTGCATAAAATAGCTATGGAATTGAGGTTTTGTGATTAAAACATTCAGCTTTCAACCATCAGGTTGAGGTTTATGATAAAATTTTGGTAATTCGATTCGTAGCATATAGTTCTTATACAAATGGTGTAGTTCGAAATTGAGTATATAAACTTTTACTTGGTTGAATGAGTTACAATAATAAGTACAAAATAACTAGTTTATTGATTAGAATAAAAGAATCACGAATCGCTAGTCATTATCATGTTGATCTAAATCCCACTTATCAAAACATTCAGATAAAGGTATATGTTGGATGCGTCTTTAGCAAGTTCAATATTTTTGTCATTGAAACCAGTATAAACTTAAGCATATTACTGCAAACAAACTACCATTTACACTGTTTTATGTTTCAAAATTGGTTTGAGAGAAACATTTTTATTCTGTTGACAATTAATGTAAAACGACTATTAATTTATATTATATTCTTATCAAGTACTCTGTTAGGTTAGTTACATTTGATATAAGGTATTGTGATGGTTGATTGATATTAACTAACAACAGTTGGTTTCCCAATGAACAATTCTTCAAATAAAAGGTACCTTGAAAGGATTTTGCTGAAACTATGGAATCAACTCACAACTAAGGACTGAAAATGACACTAGTTTCTACTCAATGATCGATTAGTATATAAATCCAAATTATTCAAGACATCAGTTACAGCCCAAATCACCCAACGATAACGTTTTGTGTACTTAAAGCTGGGTAACACGTATTGAAATCCCGTGAACGATTTCAACCCCTCCAGGAATGTAGACGTCCCTTGTTGGTGAGTTTCGACCAGCAGGGAAATTGGGTCTAAGGCACTTTCCTGGTATGTTTATGGCTAATAAACTTCAAACAGAGTACCCTTGAATACTGATTCATTTAAACTAATCTTCACACTGAAAGCTGTTCGACGGAATGTGGCCAGTACTAAGAACTGAATCGATTACTAAGAGATCGGCGAGTACTTCTTTTTTAATTGATACAATATGTGATGTAGTTGACAACTTACTTACGCCTGTTACCCCTCGTGGAGGAGGGATAGTTCACAAACGTCGATTGTAATAAGTTAATAAAGTAGTCAATGAATAATTCGGCATTAATCACCAATTGCAAACAATAAAAACGTCCTAACTGACAGAAATATGTCAGAAAACAATATGATTTTTATCCAGGTCATTTAATAACACTGGTATCAGTTTGCAAAGAATACACAAGTTCTCCACTAAAAATTCTGATAAACCACGCTGATGGGTGCTAACTAATACTAAAATACTTTCTAAAAGCTACCTACTAATCACCTTGAAACCTTCATCACTTGATGGTTATATTGTAATTTGATGAGAGTACAGTAGTACGATGTGATTAGTTCCAGTTTTAACACAAAACTGACTGTGAAAACCGAAATTTAAATATCATACAAACAAACTGATCTCATGCGTTTACGTTATGGGGTTAGTAAATTTACTGAAAAATAGCTATGCTAAGTTTAGACTATTAAGTTCACTGAATCATGTTCAAAACTCTTGTTTGACTAAGATGGGTAAACTACTTAGATTGTATAAATAAGTCTTGTTCGATTGGAATTAAAATTGGTTTTACTTTAAAACATAGTCATATTTACACAATTAGTTTGGCTGTGTGGATCTTTCCATTGATGTTTAGGACTGTAATTGATAAGTCTCTTTTAGCATATGTAAATCTCGCGCGAGTTACCTCAATGCACATATGTCAAAAGAGATTGATCAATTGCAGTCCCAAACATTAATGGGAAGATTTAAACAAACGATAAAAATGAGTTAAAATTCACCCTATTGTATAAATCAATGGCTGTCTGTACCCAGCAGCTAAGTTGACAACGTGATGGCTTCAAAAATATCGGCACTGCGATCGAGTCTCGGAGTAAAAATCAACTCTGGGATCTAAGTACATCCAATTGAGGAGTTCAAAATGGGACAAAATACGTGTCCTAGATTCCACTGTTGGACACCATCCATCTCTGTTTAAAAGGTCAAACGTCCTGAAAAGTTTAAATATATGCCAATTCATCATTAAATAATAACAGCCAGTGTCACATTCAAGTCTGTAATGATGAATGAAATTTGTCCATCAACTATTTTTAAAAAAATTCTAAACAGTATTATAGTGCATTGTTATTTCCTATGAACATGAGTATATAAATTGTCTATAGTTTCTCTTTAAAAATGTTAGGTCATACCTTTAAATGTGTCAACCAATCATCTATCAATTTTACCAGGACCAATGGATTGAATGAAGTTTTGTCAAAATCATTCCAGGCTTCAGGATCGTTGTTGAATTTTTTCTATCATGTAAAGGAAAGTGATTTGTCGTTAAAACACCGTGAAACAAGTCACATACTTAAAATATGTACAAATAATTTTAGAAAAAGTTAATTGTATTCAGATGTATCTCGGATACTTTTGATTGACGCAAAGATAATTTTCTTGGGCAAAAACTTGGGTTTTACAATATCACGTGACACGCAGTCAGACAAGTTTGACTGTTACTGAGCAGCATTTAACCATAATAACAAGAATAGATTGAAACAAAAGTGTGAGTTATTCAGAGGTGTTTTAAAATAAAAAGCATACGTAACGTAGCCGAATGTCTGTCTTCAATCCTTGAATAAGCAAAGCTCATTTTGGGCACATTACTTTCTAGCGATCATTAGATCAGTAATTATGTTTGGTAGTTGCATAAGTGATATTGTGTTGGAATACTAGAATCAGTTCGTTCGACATGATGTCTACCAACTCCAACTGAACGATATTTGTTCCAGCTTTAAGCTAGTAAGTATATTTTCAGTTATCTTTAAACGTTCTCCACTCTATTCTTGTACGAAAGCTGCTTAATATTAGATGGATTCAGGAAAGCTTAAATAGTAATATTGATTTATTAAACATATTTACTCAGATCTCTATCATTAGTCAGGTTAATTTATTCAAAGTTGCAAATCGTTATTTCTTTCAAAAAAACTTTCAGTCTATAAAAACGTAAACAATTATGTGTAAGTGAACGTCATACCAAGTGTTTCCTCAAGGTCAGCACTTTGGGTTGTATGTGTGTACACGAGGTTGTGAAAATGATATATCATATTGTTAGTCAACTAACCTTTTTCTCATCGATTAAAAATCTCAGATTGGAGTGAAGCAAAATAATAGGACGAAACGGCCGTCCAGTGCTTCCAGGTTTTCCATGGTAGTCTAGCTTCAATTGACTCATGATCTCAACTCTATAAAATACTAAAATCTCCACAAAACCCCTTCTGACAAATATATACGTTATATATATATATATATATATAGAGAGAGAGAGAGATGATTTAAATGAAGTTTCGTCCTCTTAGCTGGTTGGTTTGGTCGTGGAACTTTCATTGTTACTCTGAAAAACATCAGTGAAAACTTCAGGTAGAAGTGAAGTGTTCGAGTTTCTCCACATTTGACTCGCAACTTATCCTATCGACCTTGACCTTGATTGCTTATTGCTGACCTTCCACCTGTTATTTTACGCCTCCTTATTTTGATTATGTCATCCTAAGCTATGCTTGCATCGATTGAGGTGAATAAGGCTATTACATCAAGGGATATCATCAGTTTGTCGCTGTTGATTTGAATCTCTTTAAGCTTATACAAGAGCTCTATGGGGATTTCATGGAGAGATTGGATGAATCTACTAAATAATATTCTTGAAATTTCTTTCAAAAAATAGGATGTTGGCGTTCCGTGGAATGATACAATTGGAAGAAGTGAGATGTTCGGTTTGTGTATTTTCTGTTTACCTCAGAATCAAGGGAGTACTCGTCCATTGGATTTCATTCTTCATTGATAATATTTTGATAATTGTCCCGATTTGACAAGTTAGTTTTAAATTCTTTGGATTCGGTTGTCTGACCTTTTAATTAGATTTATGTACATTCATTTATGTACGCTGTTATCCTCAAGCAGTAGAACTAGAGAAGACATCATCATAGTTCAAGCGGAAAAATGACGTACTACAGTTATTGTGGACAAGCAAGAATATATCAGGATAGCTGAGAAACTACTTGAGGATAGCATCAATCAATCAGAAAAATCATGGACAAATGTAAGATCAAGAATCTGATCAAAAGGAAATACAATCAAGGTCGACAGGATAAGTTGCGAGTCATATGTGGAGAAACTCGAACACTTCACTTCTACCTGAAGCTTCTACTGATGATGTTTTTTAGAATGACAATGAAATCCCCCCACGACCAAACTAACAAACTAAAAGAACAAAACTCCACCAATATATATATATATATATATATATATGCATAATTTATTAATCTGTTCATAGATGATCATGAAATATTTAACCAGAAATTAAGAAGTATATATCTACTCAGTAAATATTAACCAAGTATATTTTACACAATATTGAAGTATGTCAGAGTGTCTGATAACGTCATAATAATAATAATAATAATAATAATAATAATACTAAAAAGATGACAATATATATTCAAAAATATTTGTTTAAATTAAATAAAAGCGCACATACTTTCCAATTTTCCGTTTCATTCACAACAGATTCAGGATATTCTGTAGTAAGCAGAGCTTCAAGAACCGAGCTTGCGCCAATAGACTGATTATCATCTACATTTTGATTTTGGGAATTCTCTCCTAGAAAGTAAAAAAAAATGTTAGAATTTTCAGAGATAAATAATCTCAAGTATCTTCGTATAGAAATGTTTTGTCAAGAAAATATATCATAATTATATGTCAATAAATGATGAAGTTATTATAGAGAATCATATATTTTTATTTAGTTATTTATTTGTAATCAGGTTGGAAAAAATTCAAAAACTTTGAAAACCTCTCGGCTGATTATTTCATACGTTGTATCTGTAAAGAGGTTGAAATCCTAACTAAAATAGTGTAGATATCCTCAATTATATTGCTAAATTTTGTTGTTCAATGTTTTATGAACGATTAATCAGTCTAAGTAGAACCGGCTTTTATAAACATAGCATTCTACTTACAATATAGTGAAAATGTGATCATACGACAAATTTATTCTTAAATATATAATATAATTTGATTCCAAGCCAGCCGAACAAGGAATACAGCGGAGTCAATAAGGTAAGTGACACAAAGTAAGAGTATACCTTACTTATCGTTGTATATTCCTTTGCCAATAAGAGACTGATCAATTGCAGTCCTAAAAATCAATGGGAAGATTCAACCAAACAATATCGAGTGAAGTCAAATTTCACCCCATTGCACAAGAAAGCGGCTATCAGGACTCACTAGCTGAGTGGATAACGCAATGGCGTTTGAAGCGAAAGGTACTGGGTTCGAGTCCCGGGGTGAACATCAACTCTGAGACGCAGGTACATCCAGGTGACGAGTCCCAAATAGGACGAAACGCGCGTCTTGGATTTCGCCGCTATCCACTATTCATCTTTGCTTATAATGCTTATGAATTAAGGCTATATCTAGGCAATACGCACAGTATTCACATATACCGATAAGAGACCGATCACCCGCAGTCCTAAAAATCAATGGGAAGATTCAAACAAACAATAACAAGTGAATTTAAGAATCAAATTGTTGAATATTTGTGAATTAAGTATTGCAAATTACCATATCAAACATAGAGGAAGCAACACTACGAATTCATCTGTAATAGCGTCTTCAGTACAAAGGCTTTGAGCGAAGTAGATTGATTTTTAAATAAGTATTAGTTTTATGAATATGGTGGCAATCAATAAAAATGAAAACACAAAGTTTCTGTTGACTGACTACAGATTATGCAAGCACAAACTTATAAACCAGTAATATAAAAGCGATTCATCTTGAGGCAATGAAAATGACTTTCGGAAAATAAAACCAATTAAAGAGTATGTTTTTCTAATCATCTTTCTCTTACTCATAAACACAGCACTAATTCGGTTAATACCTTAAATGTACACATACTTTTGAATTAAAAGTTGTGTACGATTAAAAACTGAGAATAGTACTGGAATTTAAGTCAACACTTGTAGTATAAATTATTTCCTGGAGAATTCCATCATAAACTAAAGTATGCTGAATTATCATGGAAAATTAAAGAACAATAGAGAATTGTTGCGTATTAACCTGGAATTTCTTAATAATTTATGCCACACAATGCACCGAACTCAGGTCTCTGTAGAGTATCAAATTTAAGAAATCTCAGAAAAGTCAACCAACCTTCTGAAACGATAAGTACTTAAACAGAATTCCAAACAGCCCAAACTACTATTGGAAACAAATTACTGATAAACACATTTCAGGATAAACTCTGGAGATTTAGCATGTTATCTGGTGTAAAAATTTTCTACTTGAATTTTTCCGTATGGTGGGGCAAACATTATTTCTTCTTAACTTTTATTATCATTTATATTGCATTATTTTTATTCAACAAAGAAAGTCTATATAACACATAAATTTGTCTATTTACTAAATTATGATTTTCAAATGGAAAATGACTCAAGAAGAATTCAATTAATGTCATTTGAAAAGCTTTGAATCTTAGCGTTGTTGATAAAAAGGACTCAGATCAGTTAGTCTCATTTTTTGGCATATGATAATTCTCAGCGGATTGCCTCGATTGTGCCGTTATATTACAAGAACTTTTATGCAATTGTAATGGAATCCAGGATGCGTGTTATCTTCTATTTGGGGCCCAGATTTACATGAATCCCAGTGCCGATGCTCACGCTGGAACTCCAACACAGTACATTTCACTTCAGAAGCCTAACACGTTATCTTCTTAGCTATTGAATCTAAGTAGCCACTGCTTTTAGAAAGGATTCTGTGGGTATATATATACTCGCTAATACACCGATTCAAAGAGAATTCTCATTAAAAATAAATTATACAATAAATTTACTTGTCATCATGTTTTTGAAACAAAACATACCATATGTACAATCTACAGTTGCATTCGTCAGTTTAGTTGTTTCATCTGGTTGACAACTAGTAAAAACTTCTGGTTGTGTAACACTTGTTATGGGAAGTCTATAAACAATCAATAGAATTATTATTTGTAAATTATGTTCAATAAAATATATAAATATTATTTACAAGAATTCATAAATTTGCAAAATACCCACACAAAGCATATTTAAGGACAATGATTAAGTAAAAGATATGTTGAACTCATAATCGTAAGTAATTTCTATAGTTTTCTTTTTCATCTCAAACACCTAATCTTGACTTATAGATCATTTAAAATTTTGATATGCGATAAAGATTACTTTTGACGATACAATTGAAAATTCCTGTATAGAAGCTTTGTCAATTTGCAAAAAACATTCAGAATAGATAATGTACTGCAAGTCATTAAGCTCAGAGACAAGGACTATCCTTTTTACCCAAAGTGAGCTCAAACTAGTTCAACCTAATTTGTCCTGCCACAAAACTACATAAGAATTTTAATTAGCGTCAAAAACACCCCACTATCATTCCGAAAATAAAAGTTAAATAAATGTTAACTGTTCACTAATTGTTTATTTACTTAATACCTTCATGAATTAAATCTTATTCATGTGCATAATTTATGGTTCGACCGTAATGTACCTATTGTAATGACAATGTGAAAGAGAATTTTTAAAATATACTTCCTACTTAAGTAATAAACTATGAAGAATCTTTGCGATTTGCCTAGACTTGTCACAGAAGTAAAATATGATGAAATATGATCCACTCTCGTTACATGTACGTAGTTTATTGTATAAACGTACTGAATTTTAATAGATTCAAGTCAGGCTTAGAAGTTGATATGTATACGATAGATTGATTAAATTGATAGAATAATTCACAACTTATATCACCAAGGATTGACTGTAGAAATTATTGTCTTTTTATTCATATAACCCAATACAGTCATTATTCTGGTACTAAATACTTTACTCAATATTACAAGTTGGTTAGCATAGAACGTAACTCGGATAAAATGTAAGGAAATAAAGAGTACAAAAACACAATTTTCATATGTAATTTCTGATAGCACAAGTACCGACATAGAATAATCAAGCCGTAGAAACAAAGTAGAGTAAAGATCGGTTAATAAGTGAATACATAATTAAAGTTCATTGAAATATAAGTAATAAACTGGATAACAATTACTTATAGGCTAAAATCTCTAGTAATAATTATAGGTTAAGGGATGGAGGATTATGATGGTTTTCCATCGTCCAACCATTTAGATGAATGGCTAAAGTATCCAAAATGTAAATAATATTGTATACGGTCTAAATAGCAAACCTGGGGCAAAATATAGGCAATAGTCATTGTATTGAATAATTTTGGTTCATATAATTGATTTTTTTCTTTTTCAGAATTTATGAACAAAAATTTACAACTGGGAATGAGTTACCATGTGTTTTCGTGTGCAAGCCCAATAATCTATATATTACTTAGTAATTAAAACACTTCTCATCCAATTGATTCTATCATCCTTTGTTCAGTTTGTAACGAATTAATGTGATCAATTTAATAAATTGAATATTGATTAGGATTTAATGTTACCTAATCATTCGAACGTTTAGTTGCTATGTTTAAGTACTTTAAAATCATCTGAATTATCTTTTTCCTTTTTAATGTATGATTTATTCAATTCCTTAATGAAATTCTGTACTTTCAAAAGTGAATTAGTAAGTACTATTAAATTAATGAAAGATCACTTTATATAAAATATAATGAATATAAGAAAATAATCATTATAGAACATGATTAAATAATACATCATTTGTATAACTTTCGATAGTGATTCTAACAGATAATTCTGATACATTATTATTATGACAGAAGACTATGTTTTATATTCTGTTGATAGATTTCAATTATCATAGTTGAAATCATGAGTCAATTGAAGCTAGACCACCATGGAAAACCTGGAAGCACTGGACGGCCGTTTCGTCCTCAGCAGTGCGCATCCATGATCCCCCACTGGCGAGATTCGAACCCAGGACCTACCAGTCTCGCGCCAGAAAACTTAACCGATAAACCACCGAGTCGGCATCCAACGGTGTTAATGTCTAACTTCAGCTAATCCACGATTTTGAGCAACTGTTCACCAATTGTCTTCAGTGAGTTGATATCTCTACAACAGACTTGGTAGAACTCCACTGGTCACTGCTTCCCACTAGAACTCAAGGAAATATCTCTTGAAGTCAGTTACTAGTGAGGACATGATTATAGATCAGAAATGGAGATTTCAATTAATAGGTTAAAAATAAATGTTGACAGCCTAATAAAATAAGCAGATTAAACTTTAAAGGTTAATTGTAAATAACTAACTTTATATTCATTGCAGTTAATAAATTCAAAGCTAAATATTTAAAACAGGTATTTTATATATACCATCAAATTTCTAAATGAATCTACGATTTTGATCCAGCTGAAATATTCAGATATCTAAAAACTTTTCATTTCAACTTTAATGACAGATTAATTGAATGATGTATTCAATATACGTATGCACGAACAAAGGTCATGAATAGTTTGACGAAACATCAATCATATGTTGAAAAATTTACCTAATCGTTTATTTTAAAATAAGTTAGATCATTTTTGAAATTATAAGAGAAGGGATAGAGTAACCACAAAGTCGACTGTATGGTCTACCCAAAGTTCACAAAACAGGTCTTCCTCTTCGTTCAGTTTTAGACATGTATAATTCACCTTACCATAAAACTGTGAAGTGGCTAGTTCGAATCCTAGAAGCCTTACACAAACTAGTCGTCAACAGAAGCGTGAAAGACGTTTTCGATTTCATGTCGAAGGTTGAACATATAAACTTAAATGGGAAACTAATGATATCTCTAGATGTTGCTTCCCTGTTCACCAATGTGCCACTAACTGAGAATATTGACTTTGTGAGCCAACAATTACTTGAAAAACAAATCAATGTTGGAATTCCAGAGGTTAGTCTTAAAGAATTACTTCTGAAATGTACAATGAATGTCCATTTTGTTTTTAATAACACATATTATAGACAAATTGATAGTATAGCGATGGGTTCACATATAGGTCCTATCCTTGCTGACTTTTTTCTTGCGAAACGAGGAAATGGACCCCTCAAAGATGTTATCAATAAGCTTGACTTATATTTTCGGTACGTTGATGACACTTTTATTATCGTGGATCAGGACATTGTCAAATTCGAACTACTCGAACTGTTTAACAACAAACACCAAGCTATTAAATTCACATGTGAAGATGAAATAGATAATAAATTAAATTTCCTTGACGTTTTGTTAATAAAAAAAGCGAACGGTTCCATCAGTAGAAGTGTGTTTAGGAAAAGCTCTTCATCTAGCCAGTGCACACACTTCTTAAGCTTTGTACCTCTCCACTATAAAAGAAACTTAGTCAAATGTCTGGGAAATAGAGCAAGGATGATATGCTCAGTCGATTCAATTAACAATGAGTTAAAGGTCACACATAATATGTTGATTGAAAGAGGTTATCCACAAGGTTTCCTGAAGAAACACTTGCGTGTAACAAATGAGAAGATAAAGATATTGTAGTATCAGTTTATATGTCAAGCCCATATACTTTATTCTAGTTGCTGGACTAGCCAATTCACCTATACATTATGAGTCATATTTTGATCTTGTCAATTATTCGCTTATTAACCAGCCATCTCCAACACGCATTACCTTTCGCTTCGCTCTCGAGTTGGCTTCCCAGCCATCTCCAATATGCATTATTTTCGCCTCGCTCTCGAGTTGGCTTCCCAGCCATCTCCACTGTGCATCATATTTGCTTCGTTCACTTACGTTCGCTCATGTGCCCACAGCTTTCTCGTCTGCATCATTCATCAATAAAAATGTAGTTGCCGCTTCCTTTTGCCTTCTGATTTTATACACCGTTAAGATTGGTATAATAACGGTTATCGAAGTGAACTATTATTGAAGCACGGCACTACAATATCAACAGCTGCTAAGAAACCTCTCTTCCTGAAACTGCATTTCAACAGCGATTTAGCTGGTGATGTACTACATGATAGACTGACCAGAGCAGTGAAAAGAACATTTAATGCAGCCGACCTCTGTCTATCGTACTCGACCCCATCTATGGTGATTCCCCAACTGAAGGATAAGTTACTTGGTTATGACACTTCTATGTGTATCTATGAATTCAGCTGCACCTGTGGAGAAAGCTATATTGGGCGCACTACCAGACAACTGAACCAAAAAGTTAGTGAACACCTCCCTTCGTGGTTAGGAAAAGATATTGTCAAGTCGATAAGGAGCTCGGTTCTTTTACACTTGATCGATAGCAGTCATAGAGTTGACAGAAATCAGTTATTTAAAGTTACTTATCGTATTCCTACTAGTTTTCCTTATGGGGTTCGATCTCGTCTCCTACACATCGCAGAAGCTATAGGAATTCGATCCAACAATCCAAGCCTTTGTGTAAATAAGAAATTTCTAACACCCTTATCTCTCCCTTGGCATTAATAAATAATTTTATTTTCCAGACTCTTTCTTCGTTTATTTTTTTCTTCACCCCCCTACCAATTATTTTTTTTTTAAATATTCGCTTCACAGTCCAATTATCTGAACACTTCTTATTACGTAATCTTATAATTTTTATGAATGTTATTTCAGTGTCTATATTTTTCTAATCATTGACCTATTTCCTATTGTGTAACATTGATTCAAGCCTTTATACTTATCACAACTAATACACCTTCCATTACACTACCAATTTGTACTTTTCACTTATTATCATTTTTAATTATGTAATCTGTTCCTCTGTTATCATTGACTCATAAACTGCTTTGATTGGTTTAATAATTTCGTATATGCATATAAATATTACTGTATATTAGAGTAAAGCCTGATGAGGATCTGATCGAAAACAATGTTGTTCGCTTATATATGTTGTTCTATATCACAGTATGGGAATTTTTCAAAATTTTAAATATGATCAATCAAAAAGGCTATAAATAAATAATTTTTTTTAGCTAAACTATTAAACAACAAAGATTAAACAAAATGAGATTAAGATTTGTTATCATTGTGTTTTTACAAATTGCCAGAGAATTTATCAGTGACTGATTTTCTAGCTTCCTAGTTGGTGGAAGATAATGGCAACTGTTTGAAACACACACAGTACACATAAAACTATTTTCTTGAGCTGCTTTGACTAGTTAATCTATAATACTTAATTGAAGAGTATTCTCAAGTAAGAAGTAATTAAATTGCGACAGTAAGAGACATTTAGTTACACAGTATAACTAGTTCGATGCCTTAGCAAAATGTACTATACATCAGCTATATGCAAGCAAGCGTTTAGTACTGAATTGCTTACCGTGTATTTTTTTACCAAACAAATGGTATACCATGCTTAGAATTGAACTTTTTTTAAAACAAAGATATCAATAAAAGGATGGTTTCTTTCTTCGTCTGAAAATGATCATCCATAATGAGACCAACAAGCTCAGGATGAGGAACATTCAAAATACTTGTAGTCTAGAAAAAGGTTTAATTACAGGATATAATTTTACACTAAAACGTCGAGAAAAAATCAAATCTACTTTTTATCAAGAAAAGTAGAAGCTGAGCATAAGAATTTGTGTATTTTACTAAAACATTTCCGTAGAAATACAGTTAGCTACCAATCTTTAGGATTCCTAGCCATATGTTACGTGAAGGAAAAAATGTCACCATCATACACAGAATTTGATACAAAATCTAAAAGCTGAGAAAAACCACTGATGGTTTTAATCAAGTCGTTTGAGTTCGCAATCTAACAACTTAATTGTCATAACTTTTAATATAAACAGTAGAGGAGTTATAAAACAGTCTTCCCCCGTACGAGGCAGACAATTTAGTTCCATGATTGCCACTCTCACAGAAAAAAGTTATCGCAAATACAACTGGATGACTTGTTTACTGTTAGGGTGAACATATGATTTTAATTCACATATAAACGTTATAAATATACATTAATGACAAATAGTAAACTGGTTACTTTTTTGTTGATTGACAGTTGTTTTCATCACTCACTATTCGATTTCTATGGTTTGAAGAATCTATTTGTACTGATGTGCATCCTGTCACAATGATTCTGACAAGCAGTTTGCAACACATGTATATAATCTAAAATGCGATGAAATGCAGAATTCGAATTTTAGTGTAAGAGCTCCATCCAATGGTTTGGAATGCGAAAATAACATTTAACTGTTTTCATGGACAATTTTCAGTGATCAAATAAATGTAAGAAAGGATATAAATGATACAAATAGAGTTCGATGACCAGATATTACTTTGATCACTGGTTAGGGACCAATGTCTTATCGGTTTTCATTCAATACCTATCAAGTTCTATCATTTTGGTCTAACTGCTACCTGAAACTTAGGTGACTCGATGTCGCAGTCATGATTAGTACCTACTAGTAGAATAAGCTAACAAAAGCCAATTACATATCTAAACGTGATTTAGTATTTTTAGTGGACCACTTCACTTACGTTGTTACAACTTCTTTAAACTCGGTTTTCGTCTGGGAATTAAGCATACTATAAAAGATCCCATTACATTAAAGCCTTAGACAGTAACATTGCCTGTCAGTTAATAACATGTTGGATTCCAGTTAATAAAGCGTTCCACATACCTCCTACAGAAAAGATGTAGCAACTGTCAATCTAAATGCAGGTCTTATATATATACCAATTTCTTAGAGTATTTATGTCCATCAAATATTGCTTATTTGAGTGACCACTTGGTAGTAGCCAATAGCATGTATTTTTAGTCTTTATTCCCGATCGAATCCTATTGATTAAGTTGCATTATGGCCATTGGTCGAAGTGTCTCGACATTACATACATTATGTTTTAATATCAGGTGGTTGGAAATAGTCATTTCAAAACATTGGACCTAGGTTGGATTCTGGAGAAAGTATCTCATTTTAACTGCGATAGTTTACGTTCTTTTTCATTGTATTTCATAGACAAAAGTGAAAACTGAAAACAGAGGTATAACATTAAATAAATAGTAAATTACAAAATGAATGCTTCAGAAAAAAGTTAAGTAATTGCATTTTTAACAATAAAAAGAATTATCTACCTATTTTGGAAAATATTTTCATTTCATTCTCAGCCGAAGAAAAAACACGGATTATTCTTCCCTGACACTTCATTATGTGTGCTTATATATTTATCGAAACCTTATATTAACATTTTGTTTAAATGCTCAATTATGCTACATTTCTTTGATATCAACCCTTGAACGCTGTGTAGTTACATAATCGTAACAATGACAGTCATTCATTTTATCAGATGAATAAACTCGGGTATATATATATATATATAAATAAATAATGTATATATATAAGGTATATATATATGATGTCTGAAAAGCATGATCACAAAGCGTGGCATAATTGGTAGTTACTATTGGCAACTTAGCTCTTAGTAAACAAGCAGAAATGTCAGACTATTTTCTATATCCCAGACATCTACTAGAAAGACTACAAGTCCTTTTTTATGGTCATTATTATATGTTCACTGGTTGTACAAAAAAGAACCTTAATGTTATTATCTATTTACTATCTAGTTTCTCTTCAGTTACGATCGATGAATTTCACGCGATAATTTCGTTAATTCACATTAAGTAATCAGAATAGTAGGATTGTTTGTTTCTTCCATCTTTTGAATCCATCCAGTGTTTGGAAACGTTGTGACATGACTTAGAACTGATCGTAATGACGCAGATCCATTCGTTCTTTATCTTCTCTTGGATCTCCAGCCTAGGAAATATCTTAAACTTTATATTCCGCGGATCTATTTTTACTACTTGAATCATTCTATCTGTGTCTGTTCTTTTCTACTACAACTAATGCTCTCACTAACTCTACTACTCAGGCATTTATCTTATCGTTGAACTGATATGATTTGGCGTTTCGAACCGATGAATATACGTGCCACGTTTTGAATTATTTGTGACTGACAAACTTCACGAGTAATAAATTGATATGTAATGTCTAACTCAATCATAATATCTTGATTGGATACTTTTCATATATACATAACAGTCTAGGTTTTCTAAACATTCATTTACCTATTTACCTTGTTGTTCTATCTTTTAATATTTAGCAAGTTAAAGTTAAGGGGCTGGAGAGTCTTCTGATTAGTCCCCTTATCTATTAACGGTAAATTTCACGGACAGTTACGCTATTTTAAGAATGTACTATATAGATAGGAAGATTAGAAAAAAACACAAGACGTTAAAAACCTATCGATGTAATTTAAATGTGAATGAATAATTGAACGATTCATCAGTTTTAAATGAATTTGAATGAGCGATTTTTTATTTTTTATAAAACGGCTTACTTTATGATCATATACTTTTGAAACTGATGGGCAAGAATGAGCAATTTTATGATTTTGGAGAATTATTGACTGAAAGTTTTCGAAATCTTTTGGATCTTCAGGCTTCTTGTCATTTAAATTAAAACCCAAATACTTTGGAAATTCTTTTCACTTAGGTAACTTGTTTTGTTGCACTCAATGATCGATAAACGTTTCTCACTACTTAAGACTGAGATATGGCAATATTTATCCTTTAGATATCTTATTATATAACTTTATTACACCACTGAATAAATGTATGTAGAAAACCGCAATGAGTTCAGAATGAGTAAAGTGCTCCCCAACCAAAAAGAGGGATTTTTGTTATGTCACTAAATAGCAATTTCTAGATTCGCACATCGGATTTAAATAACAATACCGTTGTTTTACGATTTCTTTCATCGTAGTATATATTTTCAGTGTGTTTTAGAATAAAATAAATTAATGTGAAAGACCTTTTGATATACAATATTCTCCCAGATAATTACACACCATCATGAAGCACAATCTGGCCACCACTGCACACCAGAATTGAATCTGGAAGTGTCGGATAGAAATAATAGATGCTCAGCATTTGAGCGCGAGACTGAAGAGCTTGGGTTTGATTTCCGACTGTTCGGCTGCGGATGCCCACTGTTGAGTCCTATATTGAAACGAAACACCCGTCCAGTCCTTTCAGATTCCCGACGGTGGTTCACTTTGATCGGTTCGTAAGTTCAGAGAGATAAAGGACTTTTAACCCGGAAAACTTAAACCGTGCAAAATAAATCATAATAAAATAGTAAACTGACCTATCTAGAACTCAAATCTGATGGTCAACAAACACTACCCCCAAAACGATGTTTTAATTCATATTCCGTATTTCCTTAAAGTGAAATCCAAAACGCTTCTGTAATATGATATCAGAAAACTTTCTTTAAATAATTAGTTATTTTGTAGTTTTATATCACAAAATGACCTTAGTGTGTACTAGTGGCTAACTTCTAGGTGCCATTCCTGAAGTATTAATGAGAAGCTGCGACCAGCAGAATACAGTCATGTCGGGTTCTACATGAAGCTCGTTAACGACAGTGGATGATGATTGTGCTGTACTAAGAACCTCTGAATGACTATTTAGTTTTCAGAAGGCTAGTTACTCACTGCGAGGCCTATAAATTTTGGGTCTGATTCCCGATGGAGTCACAAAATGTGGTTTTACAAGGGTATTTCATGTTAGAATGAAACAGCTGTCCGCTGCTCCATACTTTTTAATTATTGTCCAACTAAGATCAGTCAGCAAACGAAAACGTTGTTTATAATCTTTTATACCAAAGAGACTATTTGTGTCGTAACTACTAATAAGTGAGAGAAGAGTGCTTGGGAATAAAAATACATTTACGCTACAAATTTTCTTGGTCATATGAAAAGTGATTATGCTTTTAGATATTATAGAGAAACCAGTGGGCCAATTAATGTCTATTGAGTGAAATTTTTACATGATTGTTTCAGAGGTGAAACAAATTTTGCTTTAAAACGAGTAGATAAATATAGCTAAATGAATTTACTTTGGTTTTGTATACTACAGATGTCACAATTTATTTATTTTCAGGATAATCGAACTATGAAAGAGATATAAAATTTTACACTAAACAATAAACAAAACAAAAGTAATCAGCATCCAAACTGCCGTCGCCATAGTTACGTGTAAATGCAGAAAAAGGATTAAATCCTATCTAAAATGTTAAAACTGTCTGACCTTTGTAAAATGCTTTGATGTGGAATGCATTTGTAAGTGTAAATAATAATGATGCTTACAATAATATTAGTACTTAATTAATTAATTAAAATAGGTTTACACGAAAGCATATTTATTTTTAAAAAGAAATTGAGCCAGTGGTCGTAAGCTAAATTAAATGTCATCGCTTAACTTAGAAAACAACAGTCCACCCCGTTTATGTGAAAAAAACACGATAAAAATAACATATCTCATGATAGTCATCATAAAACTTTAAAAGATGGTTTGTATTACGAAACGAAATCAACTTCTAAGTTATCAAGGATTAAAGAGTATTTGACGGTCTTCCATAATCTCTATATTATATACTTTTTAGGTGAGAACTTTTAGCTTTAGTCGCAGATTTACAATTCCGAAGTGACTGTGTTACGAGTCATTGGTATACGATAATTCACTTTAAGCAACTTTAAAACACGGTTCAAATACAATCTAATGTGGTCAATAAACACATGTCCTGTCCAAGGATTATTTTAGTAATAAGAAATTGGTCAATGTAAGTGTTTTGTTATTACAAGATACTGTTTATGAACCAAAAACTCACTAATTTACAACTAGTTAGGCCGGTGAATTTCCTTGAGTGATAAAAGATACCTTTACAATATAACCAAAATTTATAATTAGCAAACTTTTAGGGTCATCCTGGCAGATAATATTCGCTGTTTAGTGTTAAATTTCATATACAGTCCATGAGAAATAAGTACAAACAAGGTGTTCTAGGCAAGATTTTTATTTGGAAACAATTTTCTGTTTGATAATTTGATACAAAACTATTAAAACTTGTATTGCCGTTTGTAATTCTCGACACAAATATACATGACTGACAGCCCAAAAGATGATTTTGGGGGAATTATACTTTTCGAGCACCTGTCACACCAAGAATCGTGGTTCTCAAGTAAACGTATAACTCTCTTTCTGAAATTTAATTATAGTCATTGTTAGATCTTTTTACTAAATCATTTTTATGAAACACAAATTTGTTTTTGGTAGAAGAATGAGAGTTAAAAGCCAACTAACCAAGACTTTTACATATTTGTAGATAACCTATTGGGCGTATATCAGATTGAACTATGTTCACAGAAAGACAACTCACTGAGTTACGACAGTTAGAAAATAACTGGATAAATTCCTGATTCTTAACTAAATCAACCGTTAAACTGTACTTTTTAAAGCATATCTATCCACTAATTCAAATGGTGCACTTAAAATGTTTAAAAATTACGCATAAATGTGTGAACAAATCATCTTACCACAGGAAAAGCTAAAAGTTGTCTACGATAATTTATTATGTGATGTTTGGGAAAAGGGTTATTAAACAAGTTGCTCATAACATTATACACTATGTCAACAAAATGCTATATAGCTAGTTTTGACGTCAATGCGTTTTTTTAGGACTAACGTGCATAAATTATGAAATCTCAAAAGAAATATGACAGCTTGTTTCCAAATGAATCATCTTGTGGTATACAAATGACATACCTTTCAAGAGTTATTTTGACAGCCTTTGCTGTTCGTTTAATTATTAAAATCTGTTGATGCACAATGTGTAAAATACATAGGATTGAAGCAACGAAAATTCTGAAAATTACACCTAAAGCAAACTCTTAAAGTTCAGAAACCTAAAGTAGCTGCTGTATCAGTAATTTATTTAACATTCAAAAGATATGACTACTATCTTGATTGTAAACACGATTCGCAAATCCAAAGTTTTAACAAATATTAATATGGGTGAAACTAAAATTACAAAAGCTGTTTTGAGGGTCGATAAACGTCGTAAAATATATGATTCACACAAAAGATACTGTTTGAATAACTCAAATCAATATACTGTTTTTTTTATTCTATAGGTCTGACTATCACCGATCATTGTGTTTTTGGCATTAACTGCTTACTGCTCGTCATATTTGTTGCAGTGAATAAATCCCCAAACTCAATAGCTCTGTAAGTCTTCAACATTTGATGCTGACCACATTAGTTTTAATGGACTCACCTAGCTGAAGGCACTCAGTCACGCATTCGCGCCAGATCACAGGTAGGAACGCTGTGCTGAACTTCTACGACAACCGCTAGCCAGCTTAGATCATTCACTTCTCGATATATTGATAGCTTATCAGATACATCTTTGAACCTCTTCGCTTCTGAATTTTGACTTCATTAGGTGGACACGATTCAATTATAGTTGTTACTAGTTAAAATGTTGTAAAACTCCAAATGCTTGTAATATCTTCATATTAAAAAGTAACAACGTAAAAAGGCAAGAGATAGACTGGGCAGCCTAAAGTAAAATCTATTGTCTTGAGAATAAAGGTAAGGAAAACTAGTTGAAGTAATTTACTTTTGGAATGTTTCTTAGACTTCTTCTTTCCGGTCCATGCAATAAAACGTTCTGGCGTTTGAGAAATGCTTCTAAACTAAACTGTCCGCTGGTTTTATAAAATGAAGAACTTAATCACTAACTTACTATGATCCGAAATATATTCGGTAAAGATACAAATACTTTTCAAATTTATATATGCATTCAACTTGATTCTGGGTTTGTATAGATCCTGGTCTATCGAAATAAAATAGTTTATTACATCTAACCTTCGAAATCTAACATATTGTATTGCTTCTTCAGCGGAGATGCGGTTATTAAATACTAGATAACAGGCAATTATTACACCAGTTCTACCTGAAAAGCTATGTGGAGATGCACATAAACAAACCAAGTCCTGCATGACAGTGAACTGCGATTTTTCCTTTAAATATTGCGAACTGGATTACCGTCACTGTATCCAAAATAAACTGAAGTGATGCGACATCGTAGTCACACCTTTACCTTATGTTCATCTAAATAATTAATACATACCAGCTGAAATTGTAAAACGAAACTGTATATCTTATCTTCACAGCTAATGATACACTTACTATTGTTTTTCATGAAGCTTAATGGGTCATATGAAAATCCCGAACTGAGTACACCATAGCCACAACTACTGTGTTCCCCTGCTGTTTGCATGTTAAAAATGGAGCAAATATTCATCCTTTCAAAAATCTGTGCTATCACTCACTATACCTTTTAAACTGCTCAATTATATCAAATTCTTCAATTAGTTTTTCACTTGGTCTAGATGTTGCTAGTATATTTTGTGTAATCCTAAACCTTATACGTAAGAATATGAATACCAAGTAGAGTATAATCCATTTAAGTGCATTTCGGTTTCATCAAAAAATGATGAAGGATTGCAATATTTGCATTTCGATCCGCCACAAAACAACAAACAAAGGTTTTTCTCTGGGATTCCTTGTCGTATCATATCAGAAACAGGAGAATTGAGGCTTTTCACACAATCATCTTGAAAGTTCAATAATTACAAGAAAACTACTGGCATATTTCAGCTTGCTTCTGTATTTTCCATCCCAATTCAAAATCTCCAAAATGTACATCACCTAAATATTTTAAAAAGTGACTTTACAACAACCTCGATGAATTTGATGTATGATTATTGTAAACAAAAAAGTGCAAATCAAAATTATTCACAAGATCACGGTACGTTTTGGCTGCTATAAATCAAAACCGCAAATAATTTTTGTTTCGCACTTGTAAAACGTGGAATAATACGTCAGGAAGTGTCGTGTACATTATTGTTAAACTAAATTGAGCGTGTGGATATTCGTGGGGATTGTAGCATTTTCACTATCTGATCTAAATTGGACCACCGGTTAAAACCTGAAATAATTGGTCGGCCATTTCATTCTAGTATGGGACTCAGCTTTTTGCATCCCTCAAGTGTTGTACAAAAACGTAGATTGATTGGGGTTAAACATTAACCCTGCTGGATCCCGGCTCAGTCGTCTTGATTAAAAGCGTTCTTCTGTAGGATTGAAAGTGCTGGCGTTGATTCCTGTGTGTAGAATATTGAATGAGCGCTGATGAGGAGTTTCATACTGGGGTTAATCGCTCATCCTATGCTCCCAGGTTTTTACTGGTAGTTCAGTTTGGCTGGACCTGTGATTTCAGCCTAGAATATTATTCAAGGGTATTCACATTAAAATTGCAACTTCTATATTAACTCTACATTATCAGATCTATCTTTTGGCCTTTATGTATTATATTGCCCTTGGTTCATGCTTCCTGATTTTGATCTTTTTCTGTACATCTAGAATCCCAGTCCTTTATAACTCCCCCTATTTCTTTTCAGTCACGGAAGAAGAAAGAACGAAAAATTGAAGAATCGTAGCAGCAAAAAAACTGACACAAAACAACTGATATACCGGTAGTTACTATAAAATAAATTATTCATATAGTTCTACAAAAATCTAGTTGTACACGTTTGCCGTTGTGTGATCGCTACTCTGATTTGGCTTTTCCTGGGGGCCAGGATATAATGCTCGTGAGAGAACAAGTGCTATTTAGCCGATAGAATAGTGAAAACGAACAAAGTGCAAACGCTTAACTTCTCTGGATTCCTTGGGTTGATCTTCTTTGAAATTTGCTATTTTTCTAAATCCATTTGATAGCGCATCTTCTAAGCTTGATAGATTGTTTTGTTAAGGCCAACTTTTGTCCTAGTGTCACTATATCTCATGCCTGCTGGAACCAGTTTTGAGTTTGAATCGAAGCTGAATCAAATTGTAACATCATATTTCTGAATTCATCACCAAATTACTAAAGATCCTCCGGGAACTCGAAAGCCGAAAAACAAAACAGGACTGGTAGGTAATGACTAACTCCGCCTGGAGCCCCTCTGGTGTTGCTGCTGGTTCCAAGCCTGGATAAAGGGGGAATGTAAGACATGGGGTTAACGACACGGTCCCGTAGAAAACTAACTCGCTAAAAAAGTAGGCCGAACAGAAAGAAATAATTCAAGTCTTTCAAGTCTGCCCTGGGACTTAGCAGGTCTTCTTTTAGAAGAGTCATGACGTCCCATGGTGAAAGCCGAGTTCCTTCGTAAGTCATGATGCCGATTCCCTCTTTTTTACAACCGGAGCAACCATTAATTTATTTCTTTTTTTATTCACAAAAACCTTATGGGTACATAAATGTTGTGAAGAACTATTTCGGGTTTCTTCGGAAATGTAATAATACACAGGTTTCAATAATGTAAGCTCTCGTTTACCATATTTAAATAAAATGAAAGGAAAAAGTAAAAAATAGTGATAATGCAATAATGATAGATCAGGTTCTCTGTAATTGAGGACAACATCGAGTCGATTTTGAAGAAGGAAAGGGAGAAATAAGGGAATAGAAATGAAAACCAGAGCAACTATTAATTTAGGTACATGGAATTTTCGTACGATGTGGGAAATCGCGAGAGCCATACAAATTGCTGCAGCGATGAACAGATACAACCTGAATGTGCTTGGAATCAGTGAAACACATTGAACGCAGGTTGCACAACAAAGACCAGCTTCAGGAGAGCTACTGCTATACTCCGACCATGAAGAAGAAAATGCTCCACATACACAAGGCGCTCCACTCATGTTATCCAAACAACAACAAAGAACGTCATCCAATGTTATGCGCCTATCGAAAACTATGATGAAAACGATAAAGACCAATTTTACGATAGACTGCAGTCAATCTTCGAGAAGTGCCCAACAAAGGACCTGACCATTCTGATGGGAGATTTCAAGGCCATGGTTGGAATGGACAACACTTGATACGAAGACATCATGGGACGACATGGACTGAGAGAAAGGAACGAAAATGATGGGAGATTTGCAAACCTATGTGCCTTCAATAAACTGATCATAGGTGGCACTATATTCCCACACATAAACATACACAAAGCCACTTGGATTTCACCGGATCACACTACACAGAATCAGATCGAACGTATCTGCATCAACAAAAGGTTCAGGAGGACAATGGAGGATGTGAGAACCAGGAGAGGAGCTGATCATCACTTACTGTTTGCCAAGATGAAACTAAAACTTAAGAAGCACTGGACAATGGCGCGGACAACATCACAAGAGTTTAGTACGACCTTTCTTCGGAGTACTGACAAACTCAGCAAATTCGAGATAGCCCTCAGCAACAGGTTCGAGGCCTTTCATGATTTACTCAATGGAGAGGGAACTACCATGAAGAGCAACTGGAAAATTATCAAGGAGGCAATCATTTCAACATGTCAAGAGGTTCTGGGCTACATGAAGCACCACCACAACGAATGGATCACTGTTGGTACACTGGATAAAATTGAAGAAAGGAGGAACAAGAAGGCGGCAATCAATATCAGCCGAATAAGAACAGAGAAAGCGAAGGCAAAAGCCCAATACACAGATGAAACAGGCAAGTGAAGAGAAGCATCAGAACTAACAAACGTAAATATGTGGAAGATTTAGCGATGACAGCGGAAAAGGCTGCAAGAGAGGGAAACATGATACAACTGTATGAAACAACAAAGGAACTCGCTGAAAATTACCGTAAGCCAAAAAGACCAGTGAAAAGCAAGGAAGATAAAGTAATCACTGACATTGAAGAACAACGAAACAGGTGGATAGAACACTTCAAAAAACTCTTGAATCGACAGGCTCCACTGAACCCACCCAACATCGAAGCAGTACCCACGGACCTCCCAATCGCTGTTGGCCCACCAACAATTGAAGAGATCAGCATGGCCATTGGACAAATCAAGAGCGGCAAAGCAGTGGGACCAGACTGCATTCCGGCGGAGGCAATGAAAGAAGACGTGGCAGTGACTGCAAAGATACTCCACATCCTCTTCAGTAAGATTTGGGACGAAGAACATGTACCAATAGACTAAAAAAGAACTCCTGATCAAGATACTAAAGAAAGGCGATCTCAGCAAATGTCAGGATTACAGAGGCATCAGTCTTCTCTCAATACCAGGAAAAGTCTTCATCAGGGTATTGTTAAACAGAATGAAGGACTCCGTAGGCTCTCAACTTCCAGACCAATAGGCTGGATTTCGTAAGGATCAATCATGTACAGATCAAATCGCAACTCTACGGATCATTGTAGAAAAATCAACTGAATGGAATTCATCACTCTACATCAACTTCATCGACTACGAGAAAGCATTTGATAGCATGAACAGGACAACACTATGGAGGCTTCTTCGACACTAAGGCGTGCCTGAGAATATATACAATATCATACGAAATTCTTATGATGGATTAAACCGCGAAATCGTGCATGGAGGACAGTTGACAGTCTCGTGTGAGGTAAAGACCGGTATCAGGCAAGGTTGCTTGCTCTCACCCTTTCTGTCTCTCCTGGTGATTGGCTGGATCATGAAGACGTCAACATCTGGGATAGGGATGAGCACGGGATACAGTGGACAGCTAGGATGCAGCTGGAAGATTTAGACTTGACAGATGATCTGGCTCTTCTATCACACACGCAACAACAAATGCAGGAGAAGATGATCAGTGTGACATCAGCCTCAGTGGCAGTAAGTTTCAGTATAAACAAAGGGAAAATCAAGGCTCTCCGATACAATTTAGCATACACCGATCGAATCGCACTTGACGGAGAAGCTCTGGAGTATGTGAAAACCATTACATATTTGAGCAGCATCATTGATGAACACGGTGGATGTGATGCAGATGTGAAGACGCGAATCGGCAAATCCAGAGTAGCATATGTACAATTGAAGAACATCTGGAACTCAAAACATTTGTCAACTAACACCAGTATTAAAATTTTCAATACAAATGTCAACACAGTTCTACTGTATGAAGCCGAAACTTGGAGAACTGCCAAAGCCATCATCTAGTAGGTACAGATGTTTATTAACAGTTGTCTATGTACGATACTTCGGATCCGTTAGCCAGAAAAATCAGCAACGACCTTTTGTGGGAAAAACGTTACTAGATTCCAGTGGAGGAAGAAATCAGATGAAGAGCTGAAAGTGGATAGGACACACGTCGAAGAAAGAACCCAACTGCGTAACAAGACAAGCCGTCACTTGGAATCCTCAATGCCAAAGGGGAAGAGGAAGATCGAAGAACACATTACGCCGAGAAACAGATGCGGGTGAAACTAGAAAGGACAGTCAGAACAGTGTGGGTTCGAGAATGCTGTTCGGCGTCATATGCTGCATTGGGAGTAGCAGGCGTAAGTAAGTAAGTAAGTAAGGTAATGACTGGTCTGGGAGAGCATTTATTCACTGTGATCGGGTGTAAAATATGGAGTGACACACAGGCTATCTAGAAAGTATTCTATGTTGTAGTTACACCAATGACTGACCTTGTATACTATATTTTTACAGACACGCTAGAATTCAGAGCACCAACGGATAGTAAACAGTTCAACACACGTACAGTACAATGCTGTATTCATAGCTGTATAGATGTATGATTGCAAAGACTTTTGTGCTTCCAGACTTTCAATTAGACTAGTAATGTTGAAAGTTTTTTAAGCAACAATGTGGTAGATAGATAGATAGATAGAGAAATAGACAGATAGTTAAGCTGAAATAATTTACGAGAAAGTAATACCTTATTTATTGACAACTAGAAGCTAA